AATGAAGAGGGCGGTATACAACATTTATTATGTTGGATGTAGACCAACTCGCCCATCCAAGCAAGCTTTTCACTGCGCATGTATAGAGCGCACCCCCCCCCCCCCCCATGGCAAAAGCATTGTGTATGCTATTGTACAAAGCAACTGTCCCATGACAGATTATCTGAACAATAGCTAGCACAATGCTTTCACCATTGAAAGGGGTTCTGTGAGTGTACAGTGGTAAAGGTCTATAGAATCAACCCACTGAGCATTTGCATTCTTCAGCAACCACAATTTGGTTCATTTATGACCAAGAGAGGGCGACATTCAAAATTAGGAGACAGAATTGGGTAGCTCATTCAGTTTCCCAACACTGATCCCAGAATTTTGAGTAACTTACTCGCAACAGAATTTATAGCTGCGTCAAATTTTACAAATAAAAACTAAAAGTTCGTTCATCGTCAATTCCTCAAACATATTGCTATCTGCACAGTTTCTCAAGATTTGGTTAAAAATCTTTCCCTCTTTCTACATGTACTTTAAAAATCGTAAGAGAAAACCTTTTTGAGGCTCTGGAAAAAAAGGGCAGGCTTGCGTTAATGGAGCTTGATTGTGAGTAAATCCAGCGATAAGGATCTCAGTCTCCGAGGATTCCGAGCCTTGCCATTAACCGCGACAAACAAAATCATTGGAAAGAGCAGGGAAGTGTAGGGAAAGAGGCGGAGAGACTGGTCTTATCTCATCTGATTCTTGTCTTAAGATGCAGTAATGGAAGACACGCCTTGAGAGGAGCGCTGCTGAGTTATAAGCCGCGAGGGAGACGGTTTATCCTTATCTTACATTTTGTCAGACCGACAGGCAATATGTTGTCCCAGATATAGAAAGACTGGAAAGGGTAAAACATGTTTCCTGCCTATAGGGCAGAGAAATTAGTCTTTATTTGAAAATAAAAAACTAATATAAACCAAATAAATTCACTATTTTTTTTTTAACTAGAAATTGCAAAATACATTTATCAGGGCCGACATCATTTGCTTCAATGTTTTTTTCTTCACACTACATGCATTTTCACGCCACAACCAGAATCTTTGTTCTACCAATGCTACAAAATGGCAGGAAACTGTTAAATGGGCTCCGTGCACAATTACCCCCTCAACGGTAAGAAAGGGAGAGTTTGGGGAGACCACTGGGAGAGACATTCGAACGCATTGCTGACGAAGGCCAACGCTAACACAGAGACGCTATGGCTTCGTGCACATTCAGAATTAAATAAGCCATGCGTACTTCCCGCTATGCGCACAAAAGCGCACGCGGTGTTTCCTGTCCAAGGGGCTCTTGTAAGGGCTACAAGAGCGTCCTCTATTGGTTGCACACGGAGCCCACTGACTTTATTCACAAGTTGGCCACATTAAATTGAAAGCGAGGTAAACTCTCCATTTTGGGAACTTGCGAGCAGAATTGAAAGCAATGAAAAAAAGTTAGTTACAAAATAACACCAGTCTGCTCTGATGAATAATTTCAAAATTTGTTATTAAACATACCCTAATGTTTTAAGCCACAATTAAAATAAAAACGGAAAGTGAGGCTTGGAACGCACTCCAGTCATAAAATAGTCTGGCCCCATCCCATTCAACAGTTTACAAATTACAAAATAGATTCAGGGAACATGATCACAAATGTCCTCCTCACGAATAAGGTCAATTCTCTTCATTCCAAATTACAGGCCTGCAACTGGGAATTTAGAAAAAAACGAGGAAATTCCAAACCACACAAGACTTTTGTACAGTGTTTTTCAATTTGTAATGGCATTCATTACAAATGTAAAAAACGAGGAAATCAGCGGATCCGAGGAGAAGTTGCATGCCTGAAATTATGAGCCAACTCAATAATTTATTTCGGTGTAATTTCCAGCCCCCCAACGACAGGAAATGCAGTCACTTTCTAAGACAAAAACTAAAAGTGTTGGTTCCCACCTCCTGTCTGTGATACTTGGCCAATCTGTAGGATATTTTCCGCTTTGATGCTCAGATAAATTAACCAAGAGGGCAAAGTGAGTGAGTAGTCTTATCCAGAGACAAGTCTCCAGGGGGATGAGCCTGCTCACTTGGCCCACAGTGCAAGGCCTAAAGTGGGGACCAATATTAGCAGGTGGTCAGGTTAAGCCAGACAGGTGGATTTACCCCTAGTTTGATCTCGGCTGGGTCAGTCAATCTAAAGTCCTGTAATGTGATTTGGAGGATTATTCATGGTAGAATGATTATCAATCTCTCAATCTACATGGTCGACCCCATTTTTAAGTTTCCCGAGATCGCTCTGGGATGGTATTTCATTCCCTGAAGTTTGTGTATCTGTTATGCTCCGATTATTAATTCGAAGTCAAGAGAAAAAACTTCTACTTCGCTTCTTAAGAAGAAGCAGTACAGATTAACCTGACCCTTACACTTGGAACTCTGAACTTTGAACTACATGTATGGTTCAGCCCTACTATGGTTGCAGGCCAGTAAGTCGGTCTGAAATTGTCTACGCCGGCCAAATCATGATTTGCATGCCCTCTTCAGTATTTGAGCATATTGTGGGCCATGAACTTGAGGGTTTGTAAAACATATGGGTGGAAGCCGTGCACAGGACCGTGAGCTTGTATTTCTGTGAAATTCGGAAGAATTTGGGGCCCTAAAAGCACTCTACTTGCAATGGAGTAAAGGCACCGTTTTTCAAAATGGCGATGGGCTTCAGGACTATTTTAAGGGGTGATCATCTTCGGATGGAAATTTCTCCCAAAGGTCATCGGATTACCCAAAAAAATTGAAAAGAAAATGAAAGATGATGAAACAAGGTTTAATATGATGTACGTCTTGAACACCTTTGAGAGTTGTGAGTATTTTTCCTGACTTTCTGAATTGGGGGCATTTTTCATTGGGGTCTATGAAAATTTATATACTGGTCTGGAACCCTACGTGTATGTATGGTTTTGCAGATGGGCATGTCATTAGTCGGTTAACACGTGTCAGACTTTGGTCAGCCATTTGGTTGTGCAATGTGAGCTGCCATTGGCCAAAACAAAACTGGGTGGACCTTTATGGAGTGGTCTACCATTGGGCTGCATCCGAATTACTTGGCTGCAGCTGGAAATAACACACAGGTCTATGGGAAGTGGCTAAGTAGTTGACCTATCGCCGTTTGCGAGTTAGCCACGCCTCTCAGACAAACCTATGGAGTTTTGTACACTTAAGTTTTGTTTGTCTCAGATTTTGCGCATTCCGCATCCATTTGTAAATGAAATTGGACAATAGTTCACAAGCTACAAGTACGTTGACGCGATTCTCACACGATTCTACCGCGATAGGTCAATTAAGACACTGCCTTTACCTTGAAAGTTAAAGCTGTGCCCAATTTGGCTTTTTCTTCTTGATATAGGCCTACAGTGTATTTGGATTTTTACAGCATTGGGTTAGTGGCAAAATCTAAATGAGAAGTTTAATGGCACTGGACTGGGAAACAAGTCTTTTCAACCACCAAACAGACATTCCATTGAAATTAATATTTTACGTCACCATGACAACCAAATCAATTGCAACAAAATGATAAATTCAAAGAAGTCTTCCCTCTCCCAACAAATTTACAAAATAACCTCGAAAAGACCCTTTTTTGTCTGAGGACACATTACTTCCGCGTGGCCAAAAATAAACTCAAGTGTACAGATAAGTCGAAGAAACTAATAGCACATCAAAACACCCGTGCACAAACAACAAAATCCTTCAACCTAAAAAGCTTTTTGAGTGAGACAAAATCTGACATTTGTTGTCGAGTTTCCTGACTCTATCAAGACATGTAACTGCGTCAATCTCCTCCGCTCAGATGTTTCATCTGATTAGTTTGAGGAGCACGATCGCCGACGTTTCTCTTTTAAAATCTGCCGCTCCGCAAAATATGCAAATCTGATGGAACATTGTCGTCGGTGCAAGGACTTTGCGTCAGACGTTGTCTGGAGTTGTTATATCGTGACGTTTAAATCCATCAAAACGGTCGCCGACATTAAGATTCAAATCAAATAAGTGCACTGTGTGTCTAATCCTTCCACAACTGTGCATTTATGGGATTGTTTTTTAAATTGACAACTGATCTGATTACAGCAGGAAAGCTTTTTACAAAGAAGGTAAAAAGGTTGTGAAATTGAGAGTAAACGGACAGATAACAAATGTGTTTGCAATCTCAGTATGCCATTTTGTAAACTCAAAATAACAGGGTTGTTTTTGGTCCCAATACAACAGACTTTGTTTCTATATTTGATGAAAAACATTACTGTTTCCAAACTTGTTTTTATCTCAAAGGAAAACAAGTATTTTAAAGTCTAAACTCTACAAGTAGGGCTTATAATGGAATTGTGCTGATTCTTTTTCCAAAACTCGCTCCCTTGCAAACATATTTACAAGAATTATTTTGCATACACGTAAACCCTTTTCCCAGTCACTATTTTGTGACTTTTGAAAACTTAAAGCTAATATACAACATTTGCAAACATCAGGAAACAAAACAACCAAACTATTACAACATGTACCTTACTTGACTGTAAGTGAATAATAGTCTCAAGCATCCTGTGAAATCATGGCACGTGGTGTGCTGTCCTTTTCAAGAAAAGTGGAATTCTTGTATCAATTTTCAACAAAACTGACTTTTTCAAATACCGCCCTCAATTAACCAAACTTAGTTAGCCCATAATTGCAATCAGTTACACATCCGTGAACGGGCTCAAGCCAGCTGGTCTGATTCCCTGACCTGACAATTCCCCGACGTCTATAAATTCCTCCGTTTCGTCTGAAGTAGGGTTGGGGAACCCGACTACAAGAACAGCATTTTTTTTCTTGGTTTTTCCAGCGTCTATGAACACCAAACTTTAAACAGGCCAGTGTAACAATATTTGCTTTAAAATGCTAACCCCAAATTTTCTGAAATAATAGCAAATGTTGTATATTATCTTTAAATGAAAATCTAAAAAGGAAAAACAAACTTTACTTTTGTACTCACATTTGTAGAAGCAGTAGACTCATCATAGTCCAGCCAGCAGGTTTGAATGTGATGTTAGTGCTACTCAGGTTGAAGGTGCGAATCAACGATTGCAGATCAGTCGACATGTCACGCATGGACAGCCTCAAAGGTGTAAGGATTTCAGAATACCTGAAAAACAGATTTTAATAAATGTAAAGCTTAGTCAATATTTATAAAAAAAATACTGAATACATTGAAGTATACGGTTAGGAATTTTCTCACATATCAACAGTTTAAAGGTCGAGTTAGATCATTTGTCATTTGTTTCGTTTGAAGCAACAAAAGTGCTCAAAATCTACAGACGGGCGCTTAACAACTGACCTGATGAAGTTTTAGCTCTGTGAATGCTGTATATTCCGAGAAGACAATATTCTAGGATCTCGGTTTCAATTCAGAAGTTGACAAATTATATTTTGAATTACACCTGAAAGCAGCATTCGAAACATGTTTTCAATCGGCCGATTGCAGCTACGTGATGTCACGCACTAAACCAACGAATAAAAGCTACCGCGCTAGCGTGTTGCACGCACCCATTCATGGATTCGCCCAATTACAAACCAACTACTAACGGAAATTTCCAAAAATGCGTCACCTGACTCATCTTTGGAAATGACCTTCTTTTACTGTTTTCTTCAAACTGACAGCATGCCAGAAAGAATAATTTCACAGGGAGTTTAGTGCCACTACTATCTTTAAAACCAAGTAAACTTTTTAACAATAATTTGGTCAGTTACTTTTTGGATAGCTGCAAATGATCGACTCTACCTTTATTTAAACACTGAGAACAAAAAATCCTTGTTTTATAACTTATTTGAATGTTTGTGTCAAGGACTTGAGTAAATAAACTGGTTTTTACAAAAGAAGGAATCCTTCTTACGTTCTGTTGAGGCGATCACTTAGAATCTTCCTTCTTATTGCCATCTGAGATTTGGAATCGACGAGAGGAAGTCGTATGGTTCTGTCAACATCCTCCTCCTGAAGACGATCAAGATAAAGATATATACAAAGGAGCTTATTATCAGCAAAACTTTGGAATATGGCATCGTCCTGAGTGGATTAATTAATTTTATAAATTTGTTTTATAAAATCTAACCCCTTGAGTGATTTACTAGCAACCTTCCTCACTCTTGCAAAATCCAACACCGTATGGTAAACTCAACACCCAAACTGTTGGACTCTGATTATGGTGGTATGACTGACCCCATGTAAAACATGATCAGTTTACTTGTGCAGTACTCACTCCAACAGATTCCAACAAACCATGCAGTTGGATTTTAAAGGGTTGGGGATGGTTAGGGTTAAAAACGGAGGATGACAATTTTCTTCTTGGAAGCTGCCGTGGTGTCAAAAGATTTTGCAGCAGCTAAATCAAAGATGATACAGCATCATCAGGAAAAAGACAACAAAGTTTTCGAATTTCTTTTCTGGGAACAGCACTGCACACAGACATGGGTAGATAAAGCTTTTTCAACAAAAATCTTTAATTAACCCTAACCTTCCCAAATCCTCGAAAATCATCTTTTCAAAATGGACGATTTTGCAGGATTGAGGCTACATGCCAAAAATGTGTGGCTAATTCTGGAGGATGCACTGTGTCATGGTCTTAGGCCGGACCTTGTGTTGTATGCGCTCATCCATGCATAAATTAAGGCCTAGATTATACGTCCTAGATAATCACCCCTCCAAGGACCACATTCAAGAAATAACGGAGGATTTTGCATGATTAGAAGTTGCATCCTAGAAAATAATCCTGGGGAGTTAGGGTTAATAGCCAAATTGCTCACCTGTTTTTCCTGTCCGCTTTTCGCTTTCTTTTCCTTCTTCTTGACCTCTAAATGCCTTCCATAATAAAACTCCTGTACTTTGAGTGAAAACTGCTCGGTTTCTTCTTTCAACTTGTCCATACATGGTAGTGGCTTGGCTGCAGGCAATGAAGGCTCCGTAGTGGACACTGAAGGGTCAGAGGTCATGGCAAGGGGGTCACAGGTCAAGTTTGATTCCGCCAGGTTGACACTACCTGAGTCATCCGACACTTTACTTGAAGCACCCTCCGTTAGAAATTCTTGCGTGTCATTCGTAATCCATTCCACAAATGTTCTACTGACAGACTGGAGCAAGGATGCTTCTTTCACGACTTGTGCACTGGATTTCTTAGGTTTCTTCTTTGACTTCTTCTTTTTCACACCTTGAAGGTCTTCTGAAGCAATCCCTAGATCCATACCAGGTGATGATGCATCAATGTCGGCAGTTACGTTACTAGGTGTGTCCTCAGATTTAGATTCGCCACGGTTCTCGCTGCATCCCTGTCGCAAGTTCTCTTCACTTTTCAAATCTCTGAGTTGCCTGGTCTTGATTTCTTCCCTGGCATGACTATCTTTTGAATCGTCTCGAGACGGTAGCACAGTTGGAAGACAGACCTCTTGGTTTTGGTTCAAAACTGCTTGCTGAGAGCTCTCGCTAGAATCCTTGCGTGTCACTGTTTGTTTCTGTTCTGCATGAGATGTTGTCGGGAGTCGGCTGACTTCAGCTAGTTCCTGTAACCTCTCTCTCTTCCGAGTGTCAGCAAAGGTCAAGTTAGACAGGTCGTCTTCTAGTAGGCCCACAGCCTCCTCCTTTAGGGGCGTGTCTTTCTCCCCGCCGCCCACTTCGTCGACATCTTGAGACTCGACTCGCTCTGTGAAGACTACGTTATCCTTGGCTATCAGGGAGGCTGCAGTAGCATCTGCCTCCATGTCTCGAGTCAGAAGCTTGATGTCTAAGGGTCTGAGATTCGATCCAGGGAGAAAAATAAATGAAGTTTAAAATTTTTTTCGCAAGTTTGATAGAACAACTTGCATGCTCTATTTTATACTAAAAATCACATGGAGTGCATCGTCAATACTTATTAGAAACATCTACATTCATTAAAAATGGTCGTCTTTGGATACATACTCCTCCATGTCTCTCGTCCATAGAGGCGAATCAGACAGTTGAGCTTCAAAGAACTTGGAGGCCTTGTAGCAAAACTGACTGCAGAAACACTGTTCAAGAAAAAAAAGCACAAATTGTTATGGCGTGCTCTCTTTGTACAACGGTCGCCAAACGTTTCATACAAATCAAGCTGAATTTCAAATGATTACCCCTCCTGCTGTTTGATTATTATCAGTCACAGACAGTCAAAAATCAATCCTCTTCCCCTGCCATGCCTTTTACACAGGCTAGTCACCAACAGTCAGATCATATTTCAAGCAAGGACTGTGACTAGTCAAATTCAGTCAACAGACAAAAGCAGACAAGTGGTAGGCACAGCTGGCTTATCAATCACCTACAGCCAGAGCAAAGCTGTATCAAGGTACATAAACAGTCACAGCCAGTCAATCCTGCTTTATGTAGGCTGGGAGTTCTTAACTGTTAAAAACATTCACTTGACTAATTTTGACAGAAAGGACAACTTTGCATACAGTGTATGTTTGCATAGGAAGGGTAAATGATGGAATTCAGATTTTCTGTTTACCTTTCTGTCTGTGATGTCGTAGACTTTATTGGTCTTGCGACTGATGTGATACTTCTGTTGAGGGACATTCTGCAGTGACCTTTGACACAGAGGGTAGCCGCACTGCTTGACGATGGATCTCTCAATGACAACATCCTGGTAATGTTGTGGGCAGATAGCAAAAGCCTGGGGAAAATGACCACAATCATCAAATTAAAAACAATAAATCTGATGCCACAACAATGTCATTTATCAGTGCAGACTCATTATATTTCATAAAATTGGTATGAAAATGAATTAAACTACTGCAAACTGCTTACTAACTGGATTGGCCTGATATATACAAATCAACAAAATTAGCTGGAATGACTTCTCAGTCTTGACATGACCTGCTTCTGAGGCAGACGACAGTGGTACAAGACACGAACATGTATGGGACACACAAGCATCATGGTTGTTTCTTGTACCACTGTCATTTACCTCTGAAGAAGGTCATAAATATTTTGAGGATAACTGTTTTTCAAATGCCAACATGTTTAAATTATAAAGTTGTTTTCCTTTTACTACTTACAAAATCCAATTCCAATTCCGTATTTTTGAAACTTCTTATTGAAATTTGTACTTTCTACAATCTGGACACAAAGCTGGATGTAAAGTAGAAAAGTTGTTGGCTTTAAAATTCTCAGGCCCATTCTAGACGCCGTGCTACTGCCACGCCGAACTTAATTGAAAAGAGTACGGCAATAGCTCGTCTACAGCATGGGAGTTTTTCTAAATGCCAAACGTAATAGTCGAACCTTAATGCATCTGGAGTAATGGGCAAGGTTAAAGCAGTTCAAGCCGTTTAATGAAATTTCAGCGCGATCAAAATATTTGCGCCAATTTCACTCTCTGTGATGCGGACGCGGGAAATTGAATTGAGTTCAGCACGGCAATGGCACGGCGTTTAGAACAGAGTCGTGCCACTGCCATTTGGAACACTGACAGCGCAGCAGCCCTGTCGAGCCAAAGGATGGTTCCGTGCTGAAATCAATTTGCTGAGCCAAATGGTTCTAAACGCTGCGCTATCGCCGTGCCAAATTTTAAAAAAGTCAAATTAATTGAATTTGGCACGGCAGTAGCACGGTATCTAGAACAGGCCTTAATCCTTTAAAATACAGCCAAAACCTTGGGCTGGATTTTGACAGATCTGATGGATTAAAGAGAGTTTGATTTGAATACTTACACAATCCAATAGAAACTCATCTGTGATTGGATTATCAAGAAGTGTCTCCACGATCTCATGGGCCTTCTTCTCAAATACTAGTCGCCTCTGAACTCGCTCCTCCAACATGGCTCTGTAGAGGTTTGACAATTCATGACAAAAATCAGTTGGAAAATGTACTGACAGCTGTACAATGTAGGCCTCAGCCTAGGCTATTATACTTTGTAAGTTTGTGGTCAAATAGGATGAGAAAATCAATTTTGAATAGAACATTTGTTACTTTGAACAGATTGTAGCAAAAAGAAAACAAATGGTGGCCATCGTTACGGTAGCCGTAACACGATATTCAACTGCTTTCGTTACGGCATTGCTAAAACACCAATTCGCATCTACTTGTACAATGTATCACGTTTATAACTGGCCTTCCAACCAGCAGATAGAACTGTTTCCCCCAACTTTCTTTTAATAAGGCCAAGTAAAAATTATAACCAGTTGATTGTCCCCGCCCGAATGCTTTCTTTTAATTTTTAATTTATTTTTCTAACGTCAAAAAGTTAACTTTTTCTTGTATTTCGCTTTAATAAAATACTATGTACATAGAACATGTTTAACATGGATTTTTTTACTCTATAAGGATAGCTAATTAAAAGTTTGCAGTCATTTGGAACTGAACTTGGCGGCCATTTTGAATTTAAATACTTGGTGGGCATCTTGGAAAAAATAAAAAAATAAAAAGGCTCTCATCTTTTGTTTGTAATCAAACATACTTTTTATTGAAGTATCTTTTATCTTTGTAATCTGTGGCTTGACTGACTTCGGAGGATTTTTTTAAAAAGGGAAAATAAAGTCAGAGAACCATTCGGTTGATAGTCTGGTTCTAAGACTAGAACCAAAGATCCTGATGGTGAATATTATCAGGTCAGGGACCCAGACAATGCCATAACGACAGCAGTTGAAAATCGCATTGTGGCTAGGCTGCCGTAATTATGGGCATTTTGAAGGTGAAATCTGATGTTTTTTGTTGGAAAATGTTGGTTTGGGACAGTGACAGGATGATGTTGTCCAGGTCGCTGTATTAGCTTGGACCCCACTATCGCCAGACCATGTCCAAAATGTTTAAAAAGGCGATAAGTTGGGTCCAAGTTACTCGGACTAGATCAGATGATGGGATAAAAATTATGATTAAACATGCAACCTAATTAAGTTATTTAGCCCCCCCCCCCCCGAGCCGGCACAGTTTAGCTTATTTAGCAATAGGACTTAAAAAATAAGCCCTATTGCTGCAGGCTTAGCCCCATAAATGTGGCCTATTTACTGGACTGCCTCCGTAAACATAGGCCACACATCCACATGTACAAAAACGTGTCGACTTTGCCAAATTTTGATTTTCACATTTAGGCTTACTTTGTAGGTTTTTTTTGCTTTAGAAGCATTCTCACCCTCTATATAGGCTAATCAGAAAGTGCTGCCTTTTTCAGATGTCTAATTTTTGTGAAATTTCATGTTGAAATTTTGATACGCAAACGTGTGAAAATTTTTCTGGAAATTTCACGAAAAATGGACTAAATGTGAAAATCAAAATTTGGCAAAGTCGACACGTTTTTGTACATGTGGATGTGTGGCCTATGTTTACGGAGGCAGTCCAGTAAATAGGCCACATTTATGGGGCTATTGCAGGCTATAATAAATCTTAACAATGTTTAAATGTTTAAAAGTTTTACAAATTACATTTCACCTTTCCGCTGCTTCAGAGATTTTAGCTTCCGACGTTGAAAAAACAGCGCCCTTAGACATGCCGAACATACAAAAAATCAATAAAATCGGCAAAAGAATGAAACTTGATCAGGTGATAAGTTGTATGAATAAGAAAAAGCCAGTCTGTAGTTGGTCTAAGTACCACGATGAAGTTTACGAAGTCACGTTTGTAAAAAGCTAGTTCATGGAAGCTGCCATTTTTATTTGTAAATCCCTTGCCAAGCGAGGGCGCTATTTAACATTAACAGAGCCGAGCGAGGTACAAAATGAGGGCGCTATTGAACATTAACAGTGTCGAAAGGAGAAGGCGAGAAGAAGGCACATTAATTAATTTTATTTAGAGGCGCTTCAAAATAATTTTGGTTATCTTTTATAAATATGCACTGCCAATGTTTTTGTTTCTCGGTACTTTATGATGTAGACACCATCACTTATTTGAATTGCGTTTTTTCTGCAAGGAACAAGGGAAGAAGACCTCCTCCCCCCAACAAAAAGTTAGCTGCAGTGATCTCTGCAGAATATATTTGTAATTTCGGGAGTCCGTTTTGAGGAAGGGGAATATTATTTACAAATTTTTTAAAATTCACACTCATTTCTCTTTTGAATTTGAAGGATTTCTAAACGTAAGCATTTACTAGCAAAGTTTTTTTTTAATGTGATGGGGTAAAAATGACTTTGTTGATCACACAAAAAAGTCATGGTATGATCGATTACACGAAAGCCATAAACTTTGATGATTTTTTTATGTTGCATAGTAGAATTTATCCCAATTGTATTAAACAAAAGAAAAGCACCATTAAAAAAAATCACAAATTAGACACATTTTGAAAGCTCTCAACTGGCTTGTCTTGAAATTTATTTTCTAACTTTCAAGATAGGGAAATGCAAAACATACTCAGCACATTTAGAGACAATTTCTATGAATCTTGTTTTTCCTAAACAGCTTGGTTCAAATAACTTATAATTCAACTGCTTCCTATTTGTCAACTCAACGAACTGACTGAACGTCAACTTTCATTTGCTAAAACTGGATTTTATTTCAAACTAAAAACTTCAATTTATTGCGATGCGATTAGTTTTTTTGTTCATTAATTGTCAAATCTATCACTTGTTTCCATTGTGAATGAATCTTCCTGAGTTTAGTATTCTTCACCCTCCTCCTCAGCCTCCCCTTCGACTGAGTCGACTCCGACCTCCTCGTAATCTTTCTCCAGGGCAGCCAGATCCTCACGGGCCTCAGAGAACTCACCCTCCTCCATACCCTCTCCCACGTACCAGTGGACGAAGGCACGCTTGGCGTACATCAGATCAAACTTGTGATCCAGACGAGCCCAGGCCTCGGCGATGGCCGTGGTGTTGCTCAGCATGCAGACGGCACGCTGCACCTTGGCCAGATCACCGCCAGGCACGACGGTGGGTGGCTGGTAGTTGATTCCCACCTTGAAGCCAGTTGGACACCAGTCCACGAACTGGATGGTGCGCTTGGTCTTGATGGTAGCAATGGCTGCATTCACATCTTTAGGGACAACATCGCCACGGTACAGCATGCAGCAGGCCATGTACTTGCCGTGACGGGGATCACACTTCACCATCTGGTTGGCCGGCTCGAAGCAGGCGTTGGTGATCTCAGCGACACTCAACTGCTCGTGGTAGGCCTTCTCAGCAGAGATAACAGGTGCATAGGTGACCAGAGGGAAGTGGATTCTTGGGTACGGGACCAAGTTGGTCTGGAACTCAGTCAGATCCACATTCAAGGCACCATCAAAGCGAAGAGACGCGGTGATGGAGGACACAATCTGACCGATCAGACGGTTGAGGTTTGTGTAGGTCGGGCGCTCGATGTCGAGGTTACGACGGCAGATGTCATAGATAGCCTCATTGTCGACCATGAAGGCGCAGTCAGAGTGCTCCAGGGTGGTGTGGGTGGTCAGGATGGAGTTGTAGGGCTCAACAACAGCAGTGGAGACCTGTGGGGCTGGGTAGATGGCAAACTCCAGCTTGGACTTCTTGCCGTAATCAACTGACAGTCTCTCCATCAGGAGAGAAGCAAAGCCAGAGCCAGTGCCCCCACCAAAGCTGTGGAAGATGAGGAAACCTTGCAAGCCAGTGCACTGATCAGCCTGTCACATGGGGAAAATGAAGCAAAATTTACAATCTTTGAAATTCATTTCCTTTCTCCTATTTTTAGATTAAGGAAGTTATAATTTTAATGTTAAATTTTGTCCCTATACAAAAAAAAAATCCCTCTAAAATTCAGACAATAGTTTGAAAGCATTGATCATTTCATGGCACAGCTTCAATCTTCAATCTGTTTGTAAATCTGATCCACATTTACCCAAGTGGGGACAAAACAAGTACAAATGTCAATACAAACAAGTATACAACTTGGCTTGCAATGCGATAGTTTGTACATGACCTAGCATGTATACATTGCTGAAACCTAGGCCATTTCATGCATTTTGTTTGCAATTGAGTATACTGTTTCAGGACATTTGATAGTTTGGGAGAATAACATGGCAAGCCAAACAAAAGCAAGTTTACTGTTTATCAGGTCCTTTTTCTGCACTGTTTCATTTAACCTTTTGACCTTGTCTGACTAAGGCCATGAACTAACCAATTTGCGGATCCTATCCAGCACCAAGTCGACGATTTCTTTGCCGATGGTGTAGTGACCCCTGGCATAGTTGTTGGCAGCATCCTCCTTGCCTGTGATAAGTTGCTCAGGATGAAACAACTGTCGGTAGGTGCCGGTGCGTACCTCATCTGTACAAAAACAGATTCAATTAGACACTGAAATAAATATTTATTAGCCCCCCCCTTTTAAATTATTTACATTTGGTTAATTACCTTGTGATTTGTTTTGAAATTGAATAAGAAAAAATGCTTTTCAAACTTTCCAGATGATAGGACTTTAGTAGGCCTACTATCAGTTTTTGAAGGAAAACAGGCAGATGAGATGAGGATAGGTACATTCCATTTCCACTTTTTACTTTCATAATTTGGACTCACCGACTACAGTTGGTTCCAGGTCAACAAAGACAGCTCTGGGCACATGTTTGCCAGCGCCAGTCTCACTGAAGAAGGTGTTGAAGGAGTCGTCACCACCTCCGATGGTCTTGTCACTGGGCATCTGACCATCAGGCTGGATGCCATGCTCCAGGCAGTACAGCTCCCAGCAGGCATTGCCAATCTGCACTCCGGCTTGGCCAACGTGGATTGAGATGCATTCACGCTGTCAAATTCAAAATAGGGGCCTACATTTAAACTTTTTTTATAGTATAGACACCACTACTAGTACTAGGCCTACTAGTACTACCATGACTACTAGGCCTAAAGTCCTTTGTTAAAGATGACCAGTGTTAAATAACAACATAGTCAGTGTCAGTGATTTAAACTAGCTAGGCCTATGTCTGGACATATATCAACTTAATTTAATGTCTTGTGAAGAAAATGAAACAGAATTGGACGAGGCCTGCACAAGATACAAAACTGTTGTTGAGAACTTTGCTTTGGGTCAGAAGCACCTGAAAACACTAGCTGACAAGGCCTAACTTAGTCAACTCATCACAGACAGTTAAAGCCCCATCATGATGTCATGGATGTAGGCCCTATGACGTTACTCGTTAGTATGGTTAATATAAGGGCGGATCCAGAAGTCAGAACACACTTTGGGGGGGGGGGGGGACAGTAAAGACATGACACTGACTGAGCTGAGCCGGTTCAGCTTCTCAGTAAGTGAGTCAGTGTCATGTGATCTGACTATTCTGAGGCAATTGCTGACCACTTTAATCAAATCCTTTTGAGGAAAACTCGACGTCGCCTTTATTGCGACATCACTTGCGACATCACTGCCCCTCCCCCTGGATCCGCCCTTCAATGAAACTTTCACAGACAATAACATTAACAAAGTAATTTTCCCGATTTATATCTAGGCAGTCACTGTGGAGGACCTAACACTAAACTGGAACACAACACGTCACTTATAATGCAACGATCAACACTTTTTGAACATGGCAAAATAAAACAGTCTTTGGTCCTAGTTTAAAAAGTAGGCTAGCCTCGGCCGTCCTACATGTCCTAGCATTTTTGTTTAGAAAATGCCAAAAAGGTTACCGATTTGACCCTTTTGAGTTTGAGAAATGCTATCTACTATCTAGGTATATCTATAATTGAATAATTATCTAAATTATGTGAGATTATCTTACCATTTTGAAGAGTCAGGTAGAGATTGAGAATAACCCAAAGGAAGAATCAAACACGAAAACTGTCGTTACGTTGTGAATCGAAGGCTCACGGCAACAGAATGATTTGAAAATTACGTGTTCTGTTTTTATATAGCGTGCGTAAGCTTGACAACTCGCGCGCAAAACTTTCCAAGTCTAAACAGATGTTCTGATTGGTCAAAACTTTGTTGATGTTGTATTTGATTGGTCGAGTCATGGAACGCTTGGATCACGGTCGGGCTCTTCCATATTTTTGAAGGGTAAATGTATGTACTCCTGCGTACGTCGTGCTGTAGTTAGTTCACCGATATGTATTCGATATAAAAAGTAGACATAGGACCGGTGTAGTATTTAAAGAAATAAATATTTAATGAGAAAACCAATCCCGTGAGACATGTCCCCCGAATATGCTCGCAGAGCACATAAAATAGTGTATCAGATAAAGCGAAAATGTATCAATGCAATGGGGGCGCCCTTTAATTTTTATGGTTCTCATTTTTTTATGACGACTGTTATATGTATACATTATACAAAAACTGTAAACAGTCGTTATTATTGCTTTTATTCACACACATTTCCCGCGGCCGCGCGAAACATCGAAAGTGAGTGGCCATCATCGAAAACAACGCGGTTTTCAAGACATTAATCAATGCTTCACTGCACTCTGTACATATGTAGAAGTTTGATTGTTTTGTCTTCGTAATCCGTGGCAAGTATCTGCAGATCTGTGTGACTGTGAGTGTATGAACATATTTTTGTTTTCATACTGCATTGGTCAGGTACTGAGGTAGTTCAACCATTTTCATTTCTACACGTTTTCTATGGTATGAGTCTATGAGTTAACGCACGCGCACGGCATATGAATGCACAGATGTACAGCCTCAGGCCAATCGCCGGAAAAAATGTTCCAACCTGAGGCCACTTTTTATTCATATATCATCTCAATGAAGGTCATTCATTGCAAAAATGATAATAAGACATAAATCTGGGACTGAGAAACATTTCCAATTTTGTTAGGAAATTGGCCAACTTACAAAATTTTCTTCGCAGTGGCTATCTTACGACAGCCGTAACGCATTTCCCATTTTCTATCGTTACGGTAGACTGCAACTTTTATAAAAACATGAGAAGAAAATATAAAATTAGAAGGAAAAAAAGTGAATTTGAACGTTATGGAATTCGGACTTTATTTCCCTTCTAAAAAAAATCCTCCAAAGCCTCAGGTTAGAAAAGGAAAAAAATTCGAGTGCAAAACTGAAATGCGAACCCGCAACCTCTATCGGCTGAGCTGTCGCACTGCTCGCTAAAACGTGGGGAAACAAATAATTATCGTAGAGGGCGTTAAACAACGGCTGCCGTAACGATAGCCACTTCGAATTTTCTTGACTCTAGTCTCATTTCATTTTCATTTCATTTATTTCATTTTTCGGGATACATTTAATTTATTTGTTACATAAACAATATTAACATAAACTTTGTACACGATCACGGAAGTGGCGTCAGGTTGCAACATTTTTTCCCAATCGCCAGACCAATCCTGTTTGAACGAACTATTTTCTGGCAACAAAGTTGATTTTTGTTAGGCCTAGCCTACTTAAGTTGTAAATCTGAGCCAATATTTGAAAAGCACTCATCATTTCAGTGAAATGTGTTTTTTGTTGTTGAAAAGTTTTCACCATGAATATGGAACTTGAAGTTGAAAGAAGGCTCCAGAAAATTCTGTAAAGTTAAAAAAACTTACAGTTGTATAATTTATTAGTGTAGGCCCTACTGTTAATTAATTTTATGTCCCAAATGTCAAACCAGTTACCATATGTCGTGTTAATATTGAATGGTACTTATTTATTTGATTTTCCAGGCAAGCATCAATTGGATTTTCTCATTACACTAGTCTGAGACAAATCTCAACTAACAATGGCGGAGAGACCAGAGGATCTCAACCTGCCACACTCCGTAATCACAAGAATTATGAAAGAAGCGGTATGTACACATAAAACCCCACACCATGAAAATATCATATCACACTAAGTATAACTAAGTATGATAAGGGTGGTTTGGATACATCTTCAGGAAGTTCAGCCTGCCTCAGTTACCAAGCAAACAATACATGAAGCAATAAGGTGTTTCACGGTAATATGCGCCATCTTGTTCGAGGGGCCAAAAGAACATGCGTTGCTAGACGCGGGTGTATTTTGGAACGAACGCATGATGACTCGGAAGCGCTAAAGCTTTCCATTGACGATGCGTACACAGCAACGCATGTAAAATTGCGGCCCCGCGGGCAAGATGGCGCGTATAACCGTGAAACAATAAGTACAATTACGGAGAAGCTATGTAGCACTGGTGATGTAGGTAAACAGTTTAGAAAATTTCAATAGCAGTGCTTACCGAAGTAATTCCCAAGCTTTCGGACATTGGACCTTCTTCAGGGGTTCTGGCATGTTTTAGACAGCTATCCCTGTGCATGTTCTCAGTTAAAAACCAAAGTGCATAATGCCGATGAACATTAGATTTCGTTACCACTCTCAGAAGCCAGGTGGGCATGGCGGGAGATAAAACACTGCGTGGGTGTACTACACAAAGTACTCATGGCTGTATTTTTAATCTGAATGTGTGCAAATTAACCAGTGGCATCTTCTTGGAGTGGTCTGCCCAACTCTGTCGGGGTGTATACCTATGCACCGAGTTTATAATCTGTCGTAATATCATAAATTCAAAAGTGACGTTTCTTGTATTTCAGGTTCCAGAAGGAGTCAGTGTTTCCAAGGAGGCTCGTAATGCTGTTTCCAAGGCAGCTAGTGTGTTTGTACTCTACGCTACATCATGGTATCCTTTAGAGAGAATCCTACACCATCATGACCCCAGTCACTGGGGTTTTTCGAAACCTTTGCTTCGACTTCGGCTTTGCCTCCTACTTCTGAATCACTGAGAGGCAAACTAAACGAAAATATTCCAACTTTTGCCTTCATAACAACCGATTGAATGTTCGTGAAGCATAAGGCACCAAAATGTAGCTGGAGACCCCGGAGTAGGGGGCCTAAAATGTCGTTAAGGCGAAGTCGAAGCCAAAGCCAGCCATTTTGAAAACGCTCACAGATCTGTGCACATTCAGTAGTTACTGTTTGGTTGTTTTCCATTCACAAGGAAAAACCATATCACGTGGTTATCAAGTTCACATTGTTGCATTTCAACTATCTGCTCTGTACGCCAACAAAAGAGGGCGCCGTTTTGAGAGCCATGTGGACGGGACACACAGTGTGACACTACACTGTACTGGTTCGTGCGCGAAGTACGCAGGACTTCCTGAATGTGCCACAGCTATTAGCCACAGTGTCTTCGAGTGAGCACCAGGCGTCATCGGCGCGCGAATATGTTGAAATTTAACTTGCAATGGTCTCCCAGACTAATCCTCGCCCTCAATAACTTTGGATCATTCGAAATACGCAGTGGATGGACCTGAAAACGGAGCCCATAGCATTGGCCTAGTCCAAAAATTAGACCTTGTCTTTGCCCCATGAAAATGTTGGAGAATTTTTGTCAGCTAAATAGTGAGTAAAGTTGGCGTGATTTTGTTTTGCTTGTTTTATTGCTCTCACGGTCCCAGTCTGGCATTGGCCCAATTATCATTTGGATGTTCCCAACTTGAGTCTGGCCATGATTACAACTTATTGTTGGTATTATCTCAACTAATAAAAATCAGGATTAACAGCATCACCCAAGAACTGTACTGGTTTCCGTAAACGTGACGCTCGCCTTTTTTTCCCTTGCCGTTCCATCTACTCTAACTCTCAAAGATTTAATTGTTGAATATTTGAATTGTTTTTTTTTTCACCTTAACTGCACACTCCTCCCACAGCGCCAACAACTACGCACTGAAAGGAAAGAGGAAAACTCTGAATGCCGCTGACGTCTTTGCCGCAATGAAGGACATGGAGTTTGAAGAGTTCATCGAACCGCTGGAGAAGAGCCTTCAAGGTAAACAACTGCTGACCACCACTCTTATCAGATCTGTGCATCAAGTGTTGAGGGGGCTATCATCATTAACGATGTGACTTTGCTTTTAATTTTGTAACTGTTTAACAAATATTTTAAGAACCACTTAAACGTTTAGCCATTTCACAAAAGCTAACACCTGCCCGTTATGTAGACTGATGTGATCGACGTGATCAATCAACAATGATTGAAATAATTAATAGTGGGCAGTCACTGAAAAAGTACAAACTTAACTACGTTTACCCTGAATGTAATCAAACACTGCGGTGCGTCTAAGGTTTTGTAAATTAAATAGGTTTGAAAACATCGGTAATTATTTGTGTATGTTTAACTCGAAGGAAGATTGTGTGATCGTGAGCATAGGTTCCATTATTATAATTCAGGTTTCGTTTTAACGTTTTGGAAAATTCGTATATGGATTTAGATTTTTGTTCTTCATTTAAACGTCTAAACGTGTAAATGTCACATCCTTCATCATAGAGAATTAAATTGTAAACAGTTTTGTGTGCTGCAAAGTCAAGCTTTGCACTATCAACAAGCATTCTGCTAGTATGTGGTTGTAACAGAATGTGCTCATCAGATGCATTGGAAGACTTTTTGCAAATCGTCGTGTCCGTGTAACGAGGTCGTATCTCTTAAAATGGCGTGTGAGGTCATGTGTGTGAAGCGCAAGTTTTCAATGTCGAAAGGTCGTATCTCGCTTAAAATAACTAGGATGTACACACAAAGTCAATGGACGTTCGCGATACGTGAGATACGACCTTGTTGCATGGAGCGTATTTGCGTGAGTTGCACGGAGCGTATTCGCGTGAGTTACGACTTTGTTGCAGAATCAAGTTACGACCTTGTTGCACTGACGCAACGAAATGTTCATGCAGGATGAATGCAACCCAATGTTGGTGTTCGACAGAAATTTTGGGTAGAAGTGCCACCATTGCTTGATGGCTGTGTTTTGCACAGAAATCATTCAACATAAAACAGGATTGTTTATACTTGAACTGTTTCTCGTATTTTTCTTTCCAGAGTTCCGTCATGAACAAAAGGGCAAGAAAGAAGCATCGGAGAAGAGGAAACAGAACAGGTCGGATGCGGAGAAGGCAGAAGGGGAAGACTCCGAGCAGAACATCTCTAGTGAGATGGAGGACAGTCGGGAGGATGCAGAAGACGAAGAAGATGTGGAAGGCGAGGAGGGTGAAGATGAAGACATTGATGAGGACATCGATGATGAAGACGATGACGAGGAAGATATTGATGATGAAGAAGATGGAGAAGACGTGGAGGAGATTGAAGACGATGGTGAAGAAAATGTCGGACAAGTTGAAGATGTTGATGATGATGATGTCCAAGAAGTAGAATGAGTGGAACCAGTTACGAACTGAATGACATTAGAGAGTTTAAAATTCCCTGAATTTTAAAATCTAATGAAAAGTGTACAGTCTCATGTCCGACTGTTGACGTGAACTTATCAATGAAAATGGAAAATCTTTCCAAACAATTAAGAAACATGGAATTTATGGTCCCTTTCTCAAAACAGCTATCACACTGTTACATTAGCATGACTCTTTTCTGACCACACAAATCAAGTTCACATAATACAAAAGAAGTTTGCCTGAACAAGAGTGGCAGTCCGTATTTTTTCCCTCCTGGAATGGAAACGGAGAACTACCATTGTAAATACTGGCAGTTTGTATCGTTCATTCGGTCCTTTGTATGAAATAAAATTTAAGAGTTACAAACTGTTGAAGTCAAGAGGTCTTGTTTCCAGGGGCAGATCCAGGAATTTTTGTAGGGGGGAAGGGGGGTTCGTCAGAAAAATATTGCTGAAATGTACACAGGTGTTTTTTTCTGGACTCTTGGCTCTGCAAAATCAAAAGGGGGGGGGGGGGGGGGGGAGGACTTGCCTTGTTCCATAGTTTCAATAGGGGTGCTGTTCAAATCTGACAATTATTAACACTACATGTACATGTATGATAAAGAATAGTGTACAAAATGCTTCCTAACGAAGCTGGCTATATCTACATTGTGCACGGTGGACATTATATTGTCAGAAGGGGGGGGGGGTCCCTTTATTTTAATTTCTATGCAATTTTTTTTTTTTTTTTTACAGAGCTGGGGAGATTTTTTTTAACCCCCTCCCCTTCCTCCCCTACCCCCCCCCCCCCCCCCCGGCCATATCTGCGCCTGGTATCTCTGCACAATAACCTGTTATTTGTTTTAAATAAAGGTAACATACAACATTTGGGTTTTTTTTAATTTTCAGAAATGGATGGATTTGGGGGTTAGTATTTTATAGCAAATATTGTACTAAGAGGTACTCGGAGGGCGCAAACCTCCATCAATGACCAAGGCAACACAAATTCCCCGCCACTATCAGCACGCCCATGGAGGTAGGATTCTGCATGGCACACCCAAAGCTACTCTCATTAAGAATCCTTTAAAAAAAATCCTGGATCCAGACCCAGATCGATTTGTACTTGCACCAAGGACCACCCATAAAAACATTCACGCAAATCCGTCCATAACTTTTTGAGAAACCAACCACCCAACAAAATCCGATGAAAACAGATTTGCTTTTCAGTGTCAGCGGAAATTCGTGTCAGCGACCACACGAGGGCGCTATTCGCAATCAGCTGTGCCCGTACCGGATTAAATATACAGTACCGTGGGATCCGGGATCAATTGAGATCACATTAACAGTAGCACACAGAAGGCCGCGGAAACATTGGGAAAAGAACGGGAATTTCTCCTTCAGTAAAGTCGTAAGTGAATCTTAATATCATCACCTTAATCTTTGATTGCCGCCAATATCTGTGGCGATGTATATAGTAGTTTTATGGCGTTTTAAGGGGGGAAATCTAATGGTTTGTTTGGCCTATTTTTGACAACTTTGTTTTTGGTTTGAAAATTAAATTATGTCTAGACCCGTGAACGTGGCGTTGTCAGCCACGTTCACGGGTCTAAATTATGTCATGTGCATGTTTTTGTAAAGCTCTCTGTATGTAATGTAGTGTAGGCCTTGGCTTTAGGCTTTACAGTTTACATGGTTTACGGATGAATTAGTGGGACTTTTCAAGATGTCTAATTTCCCTGTAATTTCTGAGGATATTTTCAAAATTTTGTCTTGCTTTCCTTTGTCTTAAGTTAAAGCAGAAGAAGAAGATGATGTTTTATTGACCAGTTGATATTGATGAAATGTTGTAAAGTCGTTTTCCTAGTCATGCTAGTTCCGGATCACAATCATTATTCAGTCAGCTTTCGGCTCAACTATTCCACGAATTCAAGTGACATTGGTTCAAAATCACGCGAGAAAATGATTTTTTTTCCAGCCAGAACCACCCCAAATCAAGCCCATTTTCTGAAAAAATGTTATTGAATTTTTCAAAAAGCATTTCATTCAAGAGAATTCCAGCAAATTTTTAAAAGAGAATTAACGTAAATGATTTTCAAACTTTTGTCTGCAGCGCGACAGCACGAACACCCACGGACCGAAAATCTTTGACCCATCACAGAATACATCACAAATCGATTAATACGTGTGTATTGGGTCCTACGGTCGGCACGTACATGCGTGATCCAGAACTAGGCAAAAACTTATGGTCATTCGTTGGCGAACTTTCAAATGTTAGAAACTCTACAACAATATTTTGACTCAACAAACATTCAATGCAAGATACGACTGAAAATATGAACAAAATATTTGATGTACCGAGGAAAAAACTTATCATCGATTCGCGCCTCCCGTGATTTTCTACAAACTGTCCAAACATGTCAAAGTGCGAGTCGGAAATCTGGCCAAAATAGATTTTATCGAAAAGATATTTGTATATCATGTCAAGAAGCTTACAGTTTACATTTCAAAACACACTTCGTCAGAAAAATAACATTGGAGACCAATCCAAAAGACGTAGTAGGTTTTTATTTGAAGCGATCCGGAACTAGGAAAAATCTGGAACTAGGAAAATGACATTTTGAGGGGTTTTTGGTAGAAGTTGTGGTTTATTGATAAATAAATAAATGAAACGATGGTAGGGCCAGGAGACATAGTCCATTGCCTATTTCAAATTATTAATATTACTGAGGAGTGGATTGATTTGTGAATCATTTCATAAACATGTACCTGGTATTGAATTGTTTGATCCATAGACATGATACTGATGATAGAGCATGGTAACCACAGTGCGTGGTGTGTAGAGTCTGTGCTAAATTTAGCGATGATGTCATTGGTGTAACATCCTATTCTCAAAGTTTGTTGAACTGTGAAGAGTCTGAATGACTGAACTACCTGTTCTGTGTACTTTGTGTAAAAGTGTGTTGACCCCAAGATTTAGGTTAATATCGGTGTGTACACTGCATGCTTGACTGCTTGTACACAGGCATGTATTTCTGCCACAGGTGAAAGAGGTGAGCTGTATCATGTGTATTGTAAAAAGAAGTTTGTCTACCCCAAAACCTGGCAATCATTTGTAAAGTTTATGGATAACAAGAGTATTGCGGAGTGATTGAAGATTTTTCACCAGGATTTCATTTTTAATAGCCCAGTGTACACAATACTTTAAATCCTTACCCTCTTACTGTGACTGTGTGAATTCAACCATGGAGCTATAAAAAGTGTTTATAGCTCCATGATTCAACATTCACAGACAGTAAAAAAATTCCATACACTCCCCCTGCCGTGCCTTTTACACAGGCTAGTCACCAACAGTCAGATCATATTTTAAGCAAGCACTCTGCCTAGTCAAATTCAATCAACAGACGTTTAAATGAATGTAGGCTGGGAGCTCTTGACTGTTAACACAGTCATTTGATGGATTTTGACTGCAAGAACAACTTGGCACAGAATGTATGTTGCGTAGGAGAGTTTTGCTAGGTAAGACCATGGAGTTAGAATTACTGGTGAAGAAGCAACCTGTTTGTATGTCATTTTGGTTGTTTACATAATTATTTTACAATAAAACAGCCAGTTAGGCCAGTCATGGAGGTATTATTCTACCTCCATGGACCAGTAAAGGAATTTAATGCAAAAAACAAAAACAAAAAAAAATGCTGTTTTTAACCCTAACCCCTTGGGTATATTTACTAGAAAGTATCCTGAATCCGCCAAAATCTATCAATTTTGCCATGCGAAAAAAGTTTGGTGGCCAGTGAGTCCATCAGAATCCACCAGTTAGCCGGGAGTAAATCTGTTGAGATCCGGAGTCCATCAAAGTCCCCCAACTGCTCAATATGGAGGTATCCTGAATCCATCAAAATCCTGCAGTACCGCTAGGCTTCACGTCCTGAATCCATAAAAATCCACCAACTTTTTCAATATGGAGTTATCCTGAATCTGCCGAAATCCCGAAACAGGGATGTGGATTTTGATGGATTCAGGTACGTTAGGGTTAATGAAACATGAAATCAAGTTTTTGAATCCACCCAGTTTTGTGGTTAAAGAGTACCGAAGTGGGCTGCGTATTCTGTTCCATGCACACAGCTATAAATGTGTGTGAAGACATCAAAGCGCGAACCAGATTGAACAAGGACAATGACAGCTGACGTCACACTTTGGTACTCTGTAGTGGGCTGGGGGTATGTTGGAATAGTACTATTAAGGCAGGCTGGGGTATAAAATCATATGAACTTTGAATCTTGGCAAAGTTATTTTTTACACCCGACATTAAAGTGTTCATTGTTTGTGACACTCATATCGAATTTGTTTGTCAAAGTATGAATCAACAACGAGTTAGATAAGGTTTCTAAGGCTTCAAATGTCAATTTTCATCTTCATTTTGTCTCGTGTTGACATCTTGGTTAATAAATTACCTGGAAAATTCTCCAATGTATTATTTTGGACATCTGCCAAAAAATGAGCCGTTGCATAAATCCAAATATGTGGGCTACGTGACTTGCAAGCTAATACATAAATGGGCAATGGGTTTGTTTGTGTTGATTCAAATACAACACATCACACGGTTTGGCATCATCATGCACATACACACTTGAGTCCTGTGTATTTGTTTTGTAGAAATCAAACAATATTTTAATTTATGAACTGTATGTAAATACTAATGAATATGTATTATGAATGTAGTGGAATATGTCATTTTTCTTGAGGGTGCAACACAGTTCTGAGCCACATAGGGAAAAGTTTGTCTAATTGCTTTGAAAAGACTTTTTGGATAAATTTGTATGTTAAAATATCCTACAATGATTGGAACACGCTTTAATATTTTCTTGGTTGGAAAACTAGATTTCTGCATTTTTGTATCTGTAATACCGGTAGGATTCTTAAATAACCCCTTCTCTGAAGAATGGTCTCTCTCTGCACTTCGTGAATATTCAGTGAAATGTATTGCCTGGTTTGATTGGTCAAATCTTGGTATGTTGATGATATAGGAGTGTCTGTAAATCTGTCGAGAGTTGGATAGGAGTTCATTTGGATCAGGGGCGCGAGGTAATTCATTTAGGCAAATCATTCAGAGAGGATATTACCAGATATTCAGTCTTTTACCGAAGGTCTGCGAGTTCAACTTTGCACTTATTATTAAGGTGAGCAGCCAGAGGTGGCATGTGAGGGAAGTTGACTTCTTTTCCCACACACATCTCTTAATTCTAGGACTCAATCTCACATTCCTTAATGTGGTACACATCCCCATTCTTGGTTGCCGTTGGTCGTTTCTTATTCCTCCATTTTTCATTTTACTTCTCGCCATGGCACACTGTACAAGTGTACAAAGTGTAGTCATGGTAGTGGTGTGCATTTATGGGACGTACGGGAACCGGGGACCCTGTTGAAGTACAACATGGGTACCCAGGTAGCCGTAAAAGAAACTCAATCCCAAAATCCAAGCCTGGAAATCGTCTGAAGGACTTTATACTACTTACCGTATAAACTGCAACTTTTGCGAGCATCATTTGTCGTGCTTTGAAATGCATAAGGCCAAAAAAAATATATTTCTGCTTCTGGTTACATGGCATTTTAAAATAGGGTTGGTAGCTAGGGAAGTTCGTTTTGTTTTTGGCAATTTTTTGTGTAAGATCATATGGAGGTGTCTGGCTGTAGTCAAGGGACTAAAAGGTAGTAATTGACGGTTTTCTGTTTTTTTACCCTAATTTTTACCCAAAAAAATTAGGGTAGGGGCTGTCAAAATAGGGTAGGTAGGGTAAACGGATGCAGAACTATTTTTTTCTTTGGCCTTATGTTACTTACATGTACCTATACATACTGTACAATGTTTTCATTTTTTTTATAATTCGGGTGATTTGTTTTACCAAATGTGCAGCGTTTGCATGCGAATGTTAAAATTGACACTAAATGTCACATGTTTTAAAGATTTGCAGAAAAGTACTTGAAGTATTTATTTGATGTGACAACCCATGCAGTGTAGAATCTGTAAAAAAAAAAATCCTAATTTAATGGTTTAGTCAGACTCCATCAATCTTTGAATCATGTGATTTTGATGAGTACTATAACTTCTGTTGTCTGGCTCGGTTTCAAGTTTCACAGTAGGCCTACTTTCGTAACAGTCACATGTATGTACTGACTCATTGTTAGGAGCTACAATAAACATTTTGCATTCTGATGAATTAGACCGTATCCCGGACCTAATTCTAATTAGGTAAAGCACAGGTTTTTTTTTATTGTCTGCAAAGGACGTACACGTCCTGTTACACCTTGCAGTTTTGAATAATAACAGTTTGTGTTGGCATTACTGGTCAGTACGCCATATGTAACTGGTAGATACAGTATCTGTGAAATGATGTAACACCTAATGAACTTTATACACGTTCTGTATTAGGGCAGTATCACACTTTAGTCGGTGCTATCGCTACTAATATATCACTTTATGGTGAATTTACGACCATCTGGTTAAAATGTGAATGTTGTGACCTGCGCCCCGTCATTTACACGGTTACGAAATTACAAACTTGCTTTGCTTGCAAAATTATTGTGAGCACGAGTTCTTGGGAATGTTTCTCTTGAACGGTTCAGAACCCTCTCCAATCTAGTCGTTTCGTATCAATGACATTTTGGACTTCCTTTTAGTGTTGATCCCACCTCTTATGATTCGGTCAGGAACAGCTATTTTTAGTCAATTAAAAAAAAAATAGTCTAACCCGTTTGATTTTTTTGTTTTTTTGTTTTGCTTAAACATGTATGCAGAGAAGAAGCTTGTCTTAGAGAGAAGTGCTGATCTTAGATTCTCGTTGCCGACAAGACCCTTCCCCGCATCGTTGCTTGACTCCATAAGATGTGGAGGGAAGCCTCTGCTTACTTGCTGAAGATGATGCAGCTATCGGATCTAGGAGACTGTCCAGCCAATTGTTCTGGTCACGGAGATTGTAATGATGGAGTTTGCGTCTGTGAGGTAGGAATGTCGGAGTCTTATATATAGCGAACGTATCTATCAACAATTAGTTACTCAAGGCGCTGGAAATTTTGTCTTTTTTTTTAAGACAGGTAAAAGAAGTTTATGAGAAATATGAGACCCATTATGTAGCACCTTATAAGGTGCTGTGGTGCATATTGCAGCCACTGCCAGAAACACCTGTCCGATTTATTTGATCGGCCATCGGTGGTGAGGAAGACCACAACTTCAGACTTCTATTGCTGAACAGTTTCTGTGCATCCTGAGATGAATGATCGGACCAATCCTGACCATGGAAGTCTTTCCCGCATGTAGGGCACCGATGAGTTGGTCCGGAGGTAGAGGAGCTGGCAGCACTGGCCCTTCGAGCAGCACACTTACTCTCAGCCTCCTCAGTGTTGGGTTATAGGGTTTTGTCCTGACTGACATGGGCAAAACCTGATGTTAAATTTCATTGTTATATAATTTTAGTGTTATTTTTTTCTCAAAAACTAATTATTGCGCTGTAGCTCATAACTTTGAAGAAAGCTACAGAGAGAAGACAATGAAGAAATCTGTGGTTTTTTAGAGGTGGGAGGAAAACCCCATATTTTTGAGAAACCCCCAGCATTCTCTCGCCCAACATGCTTGACACAAAATTCTTTTTTTGGGGGGGGGGGGGGGAGGTTTTTTTTGGGGGGGGGGATGATTTTTTTGTGGATGTTGTCCGATATGTATGGGTGGGTGGAGACCTGACCTAAAACCCATTAGGTGTTCGGGAATCATTTTGGAAAAAATCTGCAACTGTATTATGTAATGCATTGTCTTGAAGAATATGTCAGTGCCAGCGATCTATGCAACTGTTCCAAGACATGTTCCAAGACAGAACGCGGTGAGTTGCTTTCTCGATTAAGTGCGTCCGGAGAATTTTTTATGATTCACGATCCTTTTACCCTGGCCCAGGATGGGTAGCAATTCCCGAAGTCTTTTTCACAACATCATCATGTACTATTTCTTTCTCCATGTTTTATTACGGCGTATTTTTTACAGAAAAAAAATGACCATACCTCCTTCAAATTTTAGTGGTGTACCATGTATAAATTAAAATACGCCGATGACTATTTTTGGTCGGACGCCAGTACACAGTTGCCTACAAAAAATTTGCCTTGTAGCCGCTGTAGCCGATGGTTTTATTTACCAAAAAGGCTGCACCCAGGCCCTATTCTTGTAAATTTAAATTGAAGAATTTGAAGTCTGTGTAATTTACATTGTACAAGTCAGTTTTGTTTAACTACAGACTTTCATTTCGTTTATCTTTTTTACACTTTTGCTTACACGCATTGGATTTTTTTCTATTTAGAAGTCAAAGGTGATGTCAATACATCAATACATGTACTAAGTTTTTCATACAAATTGTACTTTAACCATTTCAGTTTATCACAGAAAACAACTCAATATTAATTGTTGCAACTGTTCTTCGAAATTGCATGACTTCTTCATTTGAAGTATTTGAAGTTTGTTTAATTCTCAAGTCAGTTTTGTTTAACTACAGACTTTCATTTTGTTTATCTTGTTTACACTTTTGCTTACACTCGTAAATGACATAAATACTACGGCAGATAGGTGATGGGATTGTACCTTTTATGATACAAGCACGGCAACCATTTTGAAAGTTTATTAAAATTGCTTGTTACTCTACCTATATTTTTTCAAAGGAGAAATCTGCGATGGCCCTATAGCCAAATACCTTCTCATGACATACTCTGACTCTGTGCCAAGTTCTATGTTTGTATCATCAAAGTCAGAATTCCCCTAAATTTTTCCCTCATCTGCCCCACTATTGCAATAACAGAATGACGAAACAGCCACGTGTTTGTCCACAAACATAACTCTAGTTTTTTTCTGTTTTTTTTTTCTTCTGCAGTTAGAGTACCAGGGAACGGAGTGTGACGACATCAACAATGCTTACTTTGTGGCGTTCGGTTTAATCTTTTACCTGCTTTCGATTTGCTGTACCATTCAACTGGTAAATGAATAATTATTTCTGAGTATTTGGCAGATACTGTGAATGAGTACGCTTCGGGTTTTTTGTCTTTTTAGAATATCCTCTTGGGAACATTAGATTTGTTAACTTCAAAACAAAACAGAAAAAAAATGTAATACACTATGCTTCAGGTTGAAACCTATAAAATGTGTACAAAGGTGATTATGGAAAATTACAGACTATTAGGACAAATACAGAACCGAAAATAATTTTAAAAAACCCACTTGTTAATTATTGTGTGTAGAATTGTAGATGTGAAAATCTCTTTTCGGCAAATTACGGTGCTGTTTATTAATTGAAGAATAACTTTAAAAAGTAAATCAGTTATAGATAAACAAGGCCTTTTCAGTGCCAATATGGTATTATTATGTACCACCTCATCCCAAATGGCTACATTTTTTAACCGTTAAAATTCTTTAATTTCAGATTTTGTGCATTCAATCTGACTTCCGTCGTCTCAAGAATCCATCATTCCAGAAAGCTCTTAGAGTCACAACTCAAAAGCTGTTGTACGTTCTTGTCATCATCGCCGCCTTAAGTCGAGCACTGTACTTTTCGTTACAAGTAAGAACTTTTACCATATGTATGGAACATTTACAGAAAACAACATGTACTATAGATGTATTCCGTTTGTAACCCTCCTTTTGTTTGATCAGTCATAGACAGTCAAAAACTCAATCCTGTTCCCTGCCATGCCTTTTACACAGGCTAGTCACCAACAGTCAGATCATATTTCTTGTGGGCACTGTGACAGTCAAATTCTTTCAACAGACAAAAACAGGTGACTGGTAGGCACAGCTGGCTTATCAATCTCCTACAGTCAAAGCACAGCTATTTATATCAGGTTGCATAACAAACACAGCCAGTCAGTCCTGCTTTGTGAAGGCAGGGAGCACTCAACTTTCTAAAAACAGCCTTCTGATTTGTTTTGAATGCTGGGCTGGCCTTGTTGAAATTGCCAACCAGAGAGGGTTTGCTTGTGTTGTGCAGTCACATGAGCGCTTTTTGCATTTCATTATGTCATAAATGTGGCACTTATGGATCCATTATTGCATGTTTGCCTAGCCCATCCCCCTTGTTACACAACTTTAGATAACATTAATGCTTTACCAGTGTTAACATTACGACACTCAAGGCTAACTTCACTTCAAGTTGAGATAATCTTAATAATTCTTTGAAGTGTTATTGCACCAATATTTATCAGCGCTGTCAACACTTGCACAAAGTTCTTTAACCCGAGTTTACGTAACAGTCTGCAGTTTTGAGTACGAGCCCAAGTCCCTACGTAAATAGATTACGTAATTTCTAAGTTAACTCTGAGATGATTCATTGGAGTCCAAGTCCGAGTCATTGTTTTTGTTGTGAAGTGACCACGAGTCAGTGTTAAAAAAAATGTAACCGTTGTTGGGCTTGAGTTTGAGTCGGAGATATATTTCCTATGACTCTAAAAATGTTCTTTTCACAGATTGTCTCATTCTTGTCACAGACTGTCACAGTGTCACAGACTGTCTCATTCTTGTCACAGACTCTCAATCTTGTCACAGACTTTCTCATTCTTGTCACAGACTGTCTACTCAATACAAACAAATAAAAATACGAAACCCGTAAAAGACAAATGAGTCACCATGTTTTTTAAAATATTTTTAATTGCAGCCTTATCTGTCTGAGACATGGGCTAGTAACATGATGAGTATGTACTATCCGCTGCTACTGTCTTGCTTCTCACTCGTCGTCTGCTTCTGGGCCGAGGTAAAGTACCCTAACCCCCTTATAGTTCCCCAGGACTACCCTGCGAAATCCAACAGAGTCTGACGGTTACTCATACGAGTTTTCTGCTCAATCCAACACAGTCCCCACAATCCAACTTGTCAAGTTGTTGGATACCTGAAAATGTAAAATGGTCTTGCTAATTAAGTTACATCCAGCAACTGGTCTGTGATGGTTGGACTGGAACTTTTGACTGTTTAACTGTTGATGGACAAATCAACTTGTAAATGTATCCAAAAATTGAATTTGTTTTAAAGGGAATATACAACATTTGCAAACATCGAAAAATAAAACTACCAAGTTTTTACGAAATACCTTACTAGGATGTTGGTAAATGACAGTCTAAGGCATCCTGTAAAATGATGGCACCTGGTGTCAAGTCATTTTCAAGAAACGTGTATTTTTGTATACATTTCCAACGGTGGTCGGCCGATCACCGTTGGAAAAACCTAACTATTTTTCAACTACTGCTCCAAATTTACAATTTTCAGTCCAAATTTTGTTTTGCTATTGGTTACATGTTCATGAACGGGTGCAGGCCAGCTAGACTGGTTCCCTTACCTTACAATTTTCCGACAACTATAAATTGATCCATTTTATCTTTAGTGGAGTCAGGGAACCAGACTACTTAAACATTTTTTTGTTTTTCTTGGTTTTTCAAGCATTTTCGAAACACAAATCTTCAAACAATATTTGATCTAGGCCTATTATACTTACCCCTCAAATAGTTCATTTCTGAAAATTACAGCAAAAGCCAATGATGTACATTCCCTTTAATGTGATGCCTTGACTAATTGTGAAGTCTTGCCAACTATGTCTGTCTGCGTAGGCTTTTCATCTGTCGGAAAAGCAACACAACAATCCGGGTTTCCTGCGAGACAGTTTCCGCTACTTCATCCTCTTCAATGTCCTCCTGTACATCCTACTGGTAGCGGAGTTTATCACCATGGAAACCACATCATCGGATCACCAGATCCTTGGCAACGTCTTCAACGGATGCTTTGCAGGACTCATGACCATTGAGGTTATTTTCTTTCTCGCCTACGGAGTAGAAGTCTTCTTCAAAGTAAGCAAACTCTCAATTATTGTTTTCTCTCAGTTATGCATTGTAAAGAAATGTTTGATTCTTTTAATGACCTTCAAAGTATTTTATAAAGATTATTACTGGTTCATCGTTAACAGTTGTGTTTACCTTTCTTGTGATTATGAAAAAAACTCTTTAATAGTGACAACAATCTCTTAATCTCTTTTGTTATAACAACTCTAAGCAGTTTCCTTCAGATAAAGGTTGTAATCTATCATGTTTTTAATGTTAGCTGTCATTTTATTGGTGGCATTCTTGTTAACTTTCCTTGTGATGATAACATTCAGTAATTTCACGATCTTTTTTTTTTTTTTTTTTTTTTTTTTTTTAGATCAAAGGAGCTTTTACAGTAAATTACCATTCAACCAACCAGCAGCCTACCTCAGCTATCGGTCAAAACAGTCTCAAGGCGAGTGGTCAGTCAACTGACCAGTCACCTGACCTGACCGTCCATGTGTCCAGTCAGTCAGTGGATGTTAGCATCATGCACCAGTCTCGTATCGGGCTGTTATTCCAGGGGTTACTGCAGATTGTTATGGTCTTGTTCCTGATGTTGAACGTGACCGAGCCACAGTGGAGAGAGAGGTGAGTTCCGTCAATCTTGCTGCCATAGACTGATCCATTAGGCCACGCCCACCGTGCATGTGGACCGCCCACCACGCACGTAGGCCACGCCTACCACGCACGTGGGCCACAACGTGTTCATCTCTCCAATGCCACAATGCATGTTCCAGACGCACGCGTCATCACAAAGTGTGCATGTTCGAATTTTTTTTGGGAACATATTTTGTGCAACTTTCTACTGTTAAATGTGTTCGAATTTTTTTTGGGAACATATTTTGTGCAACTTTCTACTGTTAAATGTGTGAAAACTACTTGGCATCCCTTTTCAGTTAATCTCATTGAAAAGTGCACTTCTGTAAACGATTAAATTTTCCCATGCTTTTCCTGACAAATGAGGGTGCTGTTGCTGTGATGTCATTTCGGGAAGACACTGTTCAACTTAGGGGTTTTCTATTAAAATTGTTAACCCAAAATTTGCTCATTAAAAATAAAGTTTGCTTAAATAGCCTATTGTCATGTACTAAACCAACAATAAATCACCGAAGAAACGACAATTTACGACAGCAAAATCATGGCAATGAGTAGTCAGAATAATGGGCGGAGCTACGTGCATGTGAATCAGTCTATTGTATCTTTGTGCCATAATTCTACGCGTCCATTTTGTTAATTTTGTTTCAAAGATTTTCATCTAAAAATATTTTCATATAAAACAACTATAATCCTGACTGTGTGTTGCATTACAGCCTCCCGGTTCTCAAGAGGAACGTCCATGATGTCTTATTCCGCATCGTTGAGGTTGGTTTGGCTCTGTGGTTTCCTTGTGTCTTATGGAAGAGCAGAAGTCCTGAATCTCTCTGGATGTTGAATCCAACCAGACTCTTCAGGCAGACGCGAGATGAAGAGAAGTCACAGGTAATACGGAACCTTAGAACAAATGTTAAGAATGAGGACTTGTAGTTTAGTCCACTTCAAGTCCTCACAAGGCCTCACAAGTCCTCACAAGTCCTAACAAGTCCTTATCCTCGCAAGTTGTCAAAAGTCCTCACAAGTCCAACACAAGTCCTCACAAGTCCAACACAAGTCCTCACAAGTCCAACACAAGTCCTCACAAGTCCTCACAAGTCCAACACAAGTCCTCACAAGTCCAACACAAGTCCTCACAAGTCCTCACAAGTCCTCACAAGTCCAACACAAGTCCTCACAAGTCAAACACAAGTCCTCACAAGTTCTTGCAAGTCCTCACAAGTCCTCTGAGATTCTGGGGGAATCCCACAGAATCTGAGGTAGGGACTGAAAACCCAATCCATGTGTTTGCCTAGGCGGGATTGGAAACTGGGTCACAGTGATGGAAGGCGAGGAAAGTACCGCTACGCCAGCCTCACTCCCCATGGATTCGACTACAACACTTGAAACAATGTAAAGAACCTGAAACTGTAGGTAAGAACATTAAACACATATCCAAAGATGCCTGACGAATAAATGTAAGATAGAAAACAATTGTTTGGTTTTTGTCCAAGGGTGGAAAGAAGGAAGAGGATTGGTTACTGTGCCGTACACGTGCTCCGACGTACGACTCGACAGCAGACAGCTCTAAAGTAGAAAAAGGTAGGTTATGTAGGAGAACCTCATAGTAAAGACTTCAAATGTCTGCTTTAAAGCCACAGGTTGTGGGTTTGAGTCTCACCCCAGTAAGCTTTAAAAAGCTTTTGTATTAACCTTTTTTTGCTCGTCCCAAGGAATGGCCTTTTTGTCCTCTATGTGATTATGTCACTAACGGACTCACTCATTGACTGACTGACTGACTCATTGACTGACTGATTGACTCACCTTCACTTGTGACTTCACTGTGCCTGGTTGGTGGCTGATGAAGAGAACCGGGCAGTGCTATTGTATAGGATTACCCTGTAATGGACTAAATCCACAGACATTTATGCATAGACCGCCAGATCGTATTCACATCATCTACATGAGCATTTCGTGATCTGCACGGCGCCCGACTAAAATCAAAACTATGTTGAAGAATTCCGGTCTTAAAATTCTATGAATTTTTTTTCCAATTGTAAAAAAAAATCCCTACTGTACTAAAGCTGGTTCAGGTAGATTCAAAACCGTGCGGTACCCAACGTTTTCATGCAGATTTTGAGCAACAAAGCTTTTTTACAAATAAAAAACCGAACGCATGTACAGTTTTGGTATTAACGTGAGCACATTGCACACTAGCCGCGTTGAACGCGCATCGCGCGGTTACATGCGCTGCCAGCAAAAGTTTTGCCCATACTTTTCCAAATCACAGTTTTTACGTGCTTGACTGGCGGTCTATGTGTTTATATGTCTGCGGCTAAATCCAGTGAATTCTGTAGGCCACATGCTTGAAAAGACTTGCTGGCATTCAGAATCATTGTGCCTTTGACACAGGTCTTGCCAGGATCGAAACGTTAGGCCCTCTAATTTTTTCTTTTTTATTTGCATGGAATTTGTGCGCTCTGGGACCGGCTTTACTGGTTTACTAGGCTTGTCTTTCGGAAAGCATCGACATGTACGGAGGACAGTGTGTTGTAAATCCTTGTTTGAACTATTATCTTTGACAGAGGTGGAGTGTTGGATTTGCTATGACCACCAACGGACAGATGCCGGGCCAATGATACAGCCCTGCGAATGTAAAGGAGACGTGGCTTATGTGCATCACGAATGTTTGAAGAGATGGTTGATGGAGGTATAGTTAAAAAACATAATAATAAATAATATTAAAAACAACCAAAAAAGAAAATAAGGATTTTTTTTTTACATATTGAAGATTTGTTTACATTCATGCAGATCTGGAATTTTGTACTTGAAAGGAAAGGAAAATTTCAGGTTTTTTTTTTTCATTTGTAAAAGGCACTTGCATTAGATATTACTGAAAGCTATGAAAAATATTGCAAGGGCTCGTCAAGACCAAGAAATTAGGGGAGTCAGGTTGGGGCAGTGGTTACTTTCCTCGCCTTCCACCGCTGTGGCCCGGGTTCCATTCCTGCCCGGACCACGTGTGGATTGGGTTTTCAGTCCTTACTTGATTCCGTGGGTTTTCCCCAGAATGTTCTTCTGGGTTTTTTGTCCCACTTCTAAAACTGTAATTTCTTCCCATTGTTATCTTCTTATAGTTTCCTTCAGGCTTTTCGAGGTACAGTGCCTAGGGCACTTTTGAGGAATCCTTGGTTTCATTTCCAGAAAGATATAAATAATAAAATAATAGTCCTAAGGATGGTTGCCGTGAGCTTTATTACTTAATGCTTTGTTTCTGATATTTGTATCTTAATCCTTTATAAAACCTCTGAAATCTGACAATGTGTTTATTTTTCTTCAGTCCGCAGATAATCCTGAGGCTCTACAATGCAAGGTTTGCCAATCAAAGGTCAGGAAAAGTCATTCTTGAAAGGGAAAAGAAAAATAAAATTAAGAAAGATGCTTGGAAATACAGCAAAGTACCAAAAAGTCCTTACTAATGAACATAAAAACAATAATACAAATGTAATAATAATAATTACCGGGAATGGGTCATTAGGGAGACTTTTCCATAGACTTGTGCACAAATTTTTTCCAACTTAAATGTGCCCTAACCCAATATTCCCTTGTCCTTTTTCCATGAATTTCGGTATTTTTTTACTAATTAGACCACGAGCAACAAATATAACCTAATTGCGACAGTAAAATTTTGCCTCTTAATGGGGGCTGTGCCATTAGGGAGACAGTTATGTGTCTCTCTAATTAATGACCGGTGTCTCCCTATTATCGAAGAAATTGCGATAACGTGTTCTAAACGTACATTTAGTAATATAATGTAATACTTATATAGCGCTTTATAACAAGGTTCTCAAAGCGTTTTACAGTTATTATCCCAGTTCATCAGGAATGAGACCATTTTTCTGCAGCAGCTCGAGATCAGCGCAATTTGGTCTCTACCTTCACAGGTACCCATTTGAACTCCTGGGTGGAGAGAGGCAATTGTAGTAAAGTGCCTTGCCCATGAACCCAAGCACCATGTTCCCTGCCAGTGGGAGAGGTGTTATAAAACAACTATTGACTGCCTTATCTTGTGGTGTAGTAAAACAAGCCTCCCGCGGTGATCCATGGAGCATTCCATTTTCGCCTCTGGAAAAATAGAATGCTTCATGGATCACCGTGGGAGACTATTTTTACAACACTACTCAAAGCAGTCAATATTTGTATAATATATCATGATAAGTGGGCCTATAGTCCCCCAATGATACTATTTTCCCCTCAGTATGTTTTACCTATTTCCTTGTAGTACCAATTGAACACAGGTTCAGCAAATATCCTCAAAAGCTTTCCAACTCAACCAAGGCCTATACACTGCTATAGTTTTATATATCATGATAACTGGGCCAATAGTTCCCCGATGATACTATTTTCCCCTCTATGTTTTTTACCTATTTCCCTGTAGTACCAATTGAAGACAGGTTCAGCATGTATCCTCAAAGGTTTCCAACTCAAATCAAGGCCTATACACTGCTATAGCTTTATATATCATGATAACTGGGCCAATATTCCCCCCGATGATACTATTTCCCCCTCTATATTTTGTACCTATTTCCCTGTAGTACCAATTGAAGACAGGTTCAGCAAATATCCTCAAAGGTTTCCAACTCAAGCAAGGACTCTTCACAGCCATCGCCTTAGGTATCATGACGGCAGGCCCGGTGGCCGTCTACTTCGTCATGAAGAAATACCCATCAGACGTGGTCAGTGTCGTCTCAATCGGGGCTTGCATCTTCCTGGAGATGGTGTGTTTGAAGTAAGTACAAGACTTTTTTTCCAATACCTGAGCAGGGGTGGATCCAGGATCTTCCAAAGAGGGTGGCTGGGATGGTCAAGTATAGAGTAGATCATTTGACATTTGGGCATTTGTTTCGTTTGAAGCAACAAAAGTGCTAAAAATCTAAAGACGGGTGCTTAACAACTATTACCTGAAGAAAGTTAAGCTCTGGAATGCTGTATTTGCCGAGAAAACAGTATTCTAGGATCTCGATTTCAATTCAAAAGTTGCCGAAATTAGCATCTGGAACACGTTCTCATTCAGCAGATTGCAGCTACTCGATGTCATGTACTGAACCGACGAGTAATGGTCACCTGGCACGCATGTGCATCGTGTCAACACTTGCGCGCACCCATTCACAGATTCGCCCAATTACAAAGCAACTACCAACAAAAATCTCCAAAAATGCATCACTTGACTCATTTTTGAATATGACCTTCTTTTGTTGTTTTCTTCAAAAAGTCTGCATGCCAGAAAGAATAGTTTCACAGGGAGTTTATTGCCGTTACCATCTTTTAACCAAGTAATCTTTTCAAGAATAAATTGGTCAGTTACTTTTTGGATAGCTGCAAATGATCTACTCTACCTTTAAGTCCAAGATTTTTCAAGGGGTGGGGGATGGAGAAGATGATTGCATTGTAGTTAGTGCATAAATAGACCAAAATGTTGAAGCGATGATGACATTAATTTGGAAACTTGAATTTTCTGATGCAAATAATTGTCATTGATTTGTCCGGGGGGGGGGGGGGGGGGGGGTTAAGCCACCCCAACCCACCCACTCCTGGATTTGTCTCAGGGATACTTTGGGTAATCATTCACAAGAGTCTAGTATGGATGGCATTCTAGATACTTTCTTTGTATGCTTGGGTGAGACATCGACCCAATCTGTAGCTGGTCGTGTAAAAATAATGACCGAGTTTTAGCCAAACAAGTGCAAGTGCACAATAAGCTCTGGTCGTGTTGCAAGAAGTCTTGCATGAAAGTCTTGCAAGAAATCGATCAAAATGATCCCTGCCAGAGCTTAAAAATGCGACGCCGATGGCACATCTGGAACACCATACTTTTGGTCAATTTTCGGGACAGACAGACCGACCGACCACCAAGTGACATGCAGAAGCTTCTGCCAGAGCTTAAAAATGAAATCGTAATTTGTTGAGGATATTTCATTTTATGTGTTGAAAAGAACTTTGGCATTTTGCCAAACTGATTTCTATTTCAATTTTTTTTTTCAATTTGCGACAGATATCTTGGCATCAGCTTATGCAACGCTTACAACAGAGCAAGTATTTCGTCCTTGCACATCATCGGCAAAATGGTGAACAGACCGGAAACCGTGGTAACAACAACAACAACAACTCCTACGACATCATCATCCGAATCAAGCGCTACGTCTGCTTCATGTACATCAAGCAAAGAACCCAGTGTGTCCATAGTGTCTGTTTCCGTTATTGGTCCTGAAGTATCCTCCGATGGTGTACAGGTGCATCATGGGTAATCAAAGTAACATCTCACCCAATAAGCCAGCTCGGTATTCCAAAATAGTCTTGTGCACGTCAAGATTCCCAAAAAAATTTGGGATAACCGCAGCAGATAAATGCACACAGGGGGACTTGGTAACCAAATCTGCATTCTGTGCAATTTTTCGTGCAATCGAAAAGAGATGGAATTTTCGTTCACACAAAAGTTTTGACACACAAGACACCTAAAAACACTTAGCTGTCCAAATTTTTTTGCAAAATGTCATACTTCAGAACACGATGAAATCTTCAATTTTGCTGGTACCCCGCTATGCTTTTGCATGCATACGATGAAATTTTTATCCCAAAAGAAAAATCGGCAAATCTGGATGTGCACGTGCGAAGTTAAAATACTGAACTGGCTTATTACAAAAGCAAGGGGAGTGTGTGGCCTAGTGGTTAGGGTTCGTGACTCATGATCAGAGGGTCCAGGGTTCGAATCCAGCCGCTGGTCATATATTGTGTCCTTGGGCAAGGCACTTCACCCCCACTTGCCCCTCTCCACCCAGGAGTATAAATGGGTACCGGCATTAGCTGGGGAGTAACCTGCGATGGACTAGCATCCCATCCAGGGGGAGTAGAAATATTCTCAGTTGTTTCATGCTACTGAAACCGGAGATAAACGCCAGCCTGATGAGCCACATTGGCTCGGGACAGACTATACTACTTTTTTTATTACAAAAGCCAGAAATGTGTGTTGTTTTTCTTTATTGTTTTGCATATTTTGTTTCTTGTTTGTTTGTCACTCAACATTCCAGTTTTACTTGTCTTTACAAACATGTAATTTAGATGTATTTTTTTAAACAGTAAGCAGAACAGAATTGTAGAGCCACATAATGTACAAACATTTAATAGTAATTTGCCAAATTTGAATGTGTACTTAAATCTATAATAATAATATGATGTTTATTTAATTGTATAGGAAATCCAAACTATATTTGTACCGTAAGTTTGTTTTATTATTTCAAGTTGGCTGTGGTTGCAAGCAGGACTTTGTAGAAGTTGAAATTGATTGGCACATAATTATTGCATCCTCTCAATCGACCAATCAAATTGCTACAAAAGCTGAATAATTCATGAATGCATGCATTCCTTCGTCACTGATTGGCTTATGTTTTTTTGATGATGCAATAGCCTGTTCCTTTGTACAGTGTAGCAGTGCAGATAGTTCAGTGGTGTCAAGGTACCAGATAAACTTGATGGACTTTTATTTGTAATATTGTAATAATGTCTGTAGAATCATGACTTTTATTCTTGTGCATAATTTTTGGTGCTTTTGTCAGAGAAACTTAGAAACTGCTTTAGCTGGCGGTTTAAAAACTGTATAAAGGGATGCTTGCTGAGGATCATGTTATCGTTTTTGAGTTACTCAAGAGCAAAACTACAGGCTTGGATATTTTAGTAGTTTATATTCTTGAGAAATCGTCCTTAAATAAAACGAAACTAAACTGAAGGTTTTCAATAGATTTTACAGATTTCCTTTCTGAACTGGTTTCTTCTCTGCATTATTTATTACCGTAAGTTTAACTTCATATCAAAAATAAAATTGTCTGTATGTATACAAATCATGGTGTATGGGAATTTTGTTTTCTAAATACGTTTATATTTAAGAGATCAAAATGTTGCCTGTTCTGAGAGATGTATATTTTGCTCGTACGTTTGTAAGTTAATCAAGACTTTGTCTTTGTTGTAATCAGGATAGAATCATTCACGAAGGGGTGATGTGAGTTCACAATGGATTCTTGATTTCAGTACTTGTATGGGTACATGCAGTTTGAAGTCATTTTTATTTTACAGTAATTTAATGAGGTTAACTCATTAGTCCCTGTGCCGCCCCAGGTGCCCTGCCTGTTACTCCTTATACCGTCCAAACCCGCCCCAACACTCTATACTTGTTTATGGGCTCATCAAGGAGTAAAGTCAGTGTACAGTAGTACAGGGTGGTCCAAAAAAATGGTTACACTTTTTCAGAAGCAGATTTCTCAAAATTGAAGAGACATGTTGAAATTGTTTTAAAATAATCCTATTAAAACTACAAGATCTTTGTGGTATATGTAGAAAATGGCGTTGAAAATAAAGTTCAAGTTAATAATTTGGTCAGTTACTTTTTTTGATAGCTGCCAATGGTCTACTCTACCCTTTAAGACATTCGGTGAGCCCGTATATTGGCTCTAAATGGCGCAGACTGGGGACATCGAGCTGATTGTCTCGAATGTTGGGCATTAATAGACCAAAAACATGACGTTACACTTTGTTAACGTGCGCTTTCCTATGGGAGCCAGGTGGGGACGCGAGCTAATCGTGCCTACCTGGCTCCCATAGGAAAACACACACTTTTGTCAACAAAGCGTGACGTCATTATATTCTAGGTCTATTGAATTCCGTTTATTTCAGGCAAAAACTTGAGCATAAATGTAAGTATAGTATATGGACAGTTGGCTAATTCTTCCAGGACTTTTGAGACTTGTGTGAAGCGTTAAAGCCTGTTTGTTTGCTTTGGATCACTACACATGATGACATTGTTTTGTATTCAGTCCATTTAAATGATTCTGTCCACATTGTACATGACAGATTATATGTATATGATGATCTATTGAAACACCTGTACATTTTCCAGTAATCAGAGTGCTTAAAGTGCTGTATTAAAATTGATTATTTTTTTGTACAGAAGTGATTTGAAAGAAATTGTCTTTCAAGTTTCAAGTCTTTTGTGGAAAAAAAGAGAAACAAAATAAACTATTTCATTGAGGGTTTACATTTTTAACACTTTTATTTTTCTTCATTTTCAAGATGTACATTATCGTTTTGTGTATTACAAGAATGTTTAAGTACAGCGAGTGTCAATAAAAATCTAGCAGTCAATCCATAAATATTAAAAATACTAGCACCCTCTTTTTGCAAAACCTATCTATAGAGTTCGAAAGTATAGTAAATACTCTACAAAATGGTCTCTATCCCATCGCATTTGGACACTCCAGGCCAGAGATACAGCTAATTAAATGAAAGGACTTGAATTCCAAGTTGGGCCACTTTGCAGATTATCTGATATCAAATGAAAGGCATTCACATACCGAAAAGTGTGGGAATGCCTTTCTTTAGATAACAGATAATCTGAAAAGTGGCCCAAACAGATTTTAACAGTCATTACAGGCTTTGCAGTAACTTTTAAACAAAAAAGTCAAAATCACACAGAAAAAAAATCCGGTCAAGGGTAAAAAACACTCTATCATCTCATGTTATATTAAAAAACCAAATAAAAAAAACCATGATTTATTTTCCTCGGAAAAAAAATGTTTGCTACATTTTTTTGGAGACACGCTGTAGTTTTGTAAGATTTCCACAGTACGCTTTAATGTGACCCCAAAGTAATGGGGGAATAAATATGTCACAGTGCAATGCCAATCATAAAGTTGTTTTTGTGAAATCTCTTATTTTTTTTATCACAGACTTTTAGCAGCCTTTGCATGTATGTATTTGTGTAAAACGAGGCTTTATGATGAAAATCAATATATAAATAACAAATTAAGATGTTATGTATGATTAAAGCACATAAGGGATGTATTAAATTTATTTGAATTTTTTTTAGAAACCATTCTGACTTTGTAACATTTGAACAATACAATGAAATGAAGCGAAAGGGGGGGGGGGACTACGACGTTTGGAAGAGTTCAGAGAGGAGTGAAAAGATTGCATAATTTTTGTCGGTTTTTTCATGGCCTTTTGAAAATGCATTTGAATTTGTGCTTGAAATAAAAAAAAGAAAACCTGAAAAGTAAGGGGAAAATGAGTTGACAGTTACTAAAGCAAAAATCAGAACGGGAGATTTGAACTTCACAACTTGCAGAAATCATGGATTTGGCAAGTACAAAATATCACAATGAAGGAATTGAAGTTTATTTATTCCGTTTGTGAGGTGACGGTATATGAGTGTTTTTCGCCGATTCTTTTATTGCCGAATTTTTATTTCATAATAATCCATGTTTCTGTTCAACAACAATTTCAAATCAATCGGTTATTAGATCTCTAAAAAGGGAAAAAACAATGCTAGTATGTACTGTTTTAGACCAGCTCCGGTTCATAATGTATGTAGTGATATTTTGTTGAAGAAACCACTAACAATCCCCCCCCCCCTCGCCCTCGGCATCGCTACCCCGCCCCCATTCGGACCGCGTTCGATGCAGTTGCATAGCGCCCTCTCTTGGCCAACACTTTACCAATCAGCGCGGTTTTCCCTGGTAACACATCCAATCGCGCTACATTTTATTGCTACCGCCGGATACCAGCTGTAGAGGATTCAGGATCAGGAAGTAATAATGCGCACAAACGCATGCATCGTCAACATTTAATAAAAACACAACAGTGAAACCGAAACTAAATCAAAGAAACTCTTCAAAACTTGTGAAAGCGTACTCCTAATCTGTCAAGAGTTTGGTATTTTGACGTCTATTGTGAGATCCTCGTGATGATCAAAGGGAGGTTAATTCCAGAAATCGGTGTGCACTAGTCGTCGACTGGCGCCGGCGGTGCAGCTGCAGATCGACTCGCAAGTCGCGCATCGCATGACGAGAGAGCTCAACAATTTCTGCAATTGTGCCAGAATTTCATCATCATCGTTAGTTCAATAGTTGAACTAGAACTTAGAGAATAGCAATTGTTGTGACAGTCGATTGAGTGGAAAGACACCATGTAAACTGGATGTAAATAACGATTTAGTATTATCGTCTGCAGACGATTCATCCCCGTATAGTTTTAAAGCAACATGTCTTCACCGGCAAAAATGAGAGTCAAGGGTAAGTTATAAATTTTTTTTTTATTACGTCAAGCCTGTTAAATAAAAAAGGCAGTTAATATTGAAAGAATGTAGTAATTACTAGTGGAAAAAAATGTTGCAACCTGACGCCACTTAATTCTTCGTATATCATCTCAATGATATACGAAGGTCATTCACTGCAAAAATGATGATAAGATATGAATCTGGGACTGAGAAACATTTCCAATTTTGTTAGGAAATACTTAGACAATTTTCTTGACTCTCCATAGACTTTGTACACAATCGCACAAGTGGCGTCAGGTTGCAACATTATTAGGGGAACTGTACCTATCCCAACAGATTTAAACACAAACCTGCTGTTGAACTTTGATGGGTTGTGTTCGGTTAGGGTTAATAAAGATGCTAGGTTGCTACTTTTTTTCTCGACAACTCTTATTTTTTTTGACACAAACAAATAAAGTGTCAAAACCATCGGTCGCGTTGGGACTGGAACTCATGCGGCGTTGCTAGTGAGGTGGATGTGGTATTGACAAGCATTCGCTTGTCGTATTCGCGTCGTGAAATTGTAATTTAATATCTTATATGGAGAAGGCCTACTCACATGTATACGGCTAAATAAACACTTCGCAGTAAATATTACTAATACTACATGTATGTAACTTTGTTCCTTTCCTTTGGAAATTTTGAAGATCCAGTCAATTTCTTGACGTGACTTAAATGTGGCTAAGTTCATCAAATCATAAATAAATTATATGCAACCTTTTTTGCCTCCTCCCCCACCCCAAATATAATTAAAACAGTTGTTAAACTCAAAACCATATCCTGTATGTAGGCCTAGGTCATATAGTCATGATTGGACTGTATCTAAAAAAGTGAAAGTACATGTAGTTCATATTCTATTATTATTCTAAGAATAGGTATGTAAAAGTTTATAATTATACGCTGTGTTTAATGAGGAGACATGTGTATCTTTGAATTTTAACCTTTGCTCTCTTACAGGCCATTGACTTTACAAGCAAATTTTGCAAATGTTGTTTTGGAGAGTGTGGTAAAACAATTTTCCCCATAGAATTAACAAATTTGGATTTGGATTTTCATATTTGCCATGGAACAGAATATAGGCTTATTCAACAAGTCTCAAATATTTCTGTGTTTTTCAGGAGAAATTCTCAGTTTCAGGAGAAAGCTTTTAGATACAATGTTCATTAAAAAAAAATACCAAGTATTGAAAATAAGAAAAAGAAGAATCCTTTAATTCCCCTGTTAGCTTTTCAGTAATTTTTGTTTACCATTGGTATTGAATATGCAACCCAATAAAATTTCATACCATGCATTTGTCAGCCACTTGTGCTATCACATCAAATGTATTCAGATTGAGCCCCCCCCCCCATGACCAAATGTTCTCCCTGCTTCGGATTCAGGAGCTTGTTGTCAGGTTTGATGAGAGAATATGGCACTGTGAATGCGTGTAATTGATATGGATGGCAATGATTGAATGGGGGTCACCTGCGATAGGAAATAGTGTTCCCCAGGTGAAGTATGAATGGTATGCAGGGCAAGGTAAACTCACCTGACCTATATATTAAACCTTTAAAACAGTGTATAGCTTGGGTCTTATTGGTTAAACTCAATTCCAGAAAGTGTATTCCCATACTGGTCAAAGCAAGAAAGTTTAAAGGGAAAATACAACATTTGCAAACATCAAAAAATAAAACTACCAAATTATTTTGAAATACCTTGCTGGACTGTTAGTGAATGACAGTCTAAGGCATCCTGTAAAATCATGGAACTTGGTATACTGTCATTTTTCAAGAAAAGTGGTATTTTTGTAAAATTTCCAACGCTGGTCGGCCGACCAGCGTTGGAAAAAACTGGTTTTTTTTAAACAAATACTGGCCCCAATTGACCATCGCATTTGTTTGCAATTGATTACACACCTATGAACGGGTACAAGCCAGCTAGACTGGTTCCCTGACCTTACAATTCTCCAATGTATATAAACTGCTCAGTTTCTTCTTAAATGGAGTCAGGGAACCAGACTACAGGAAAATGATTGTTTTTCTTGGTTTTTATAGCATTTTCGAACCCAAAACTTCAAAAAAGTCAGTGTAACAATATTTTCTGTATATTACCAACCCCCAATTCCATCCATTTCTGAAAATTACAGCAAAAGCAAATGATGTATATTCCCTTTAACATCACATTGAATTCAAACAGCATCAAAACTTGTGAATGAAACTTCAGTGTTCAAACAACACTAACAGCGGTATATCAAGGAATGGGCATCCAAAGTCCGCTCTGCTTTTGTTGCTTTTTCTTTTTTTTTAGAGTACCTTAGCTTAGTTTCGCCACTCAAGCTTGAGTGCCTTGTGAAATGTGAACTGAATGCTGAAAAATTAAATTTAATTGTGCAAAATTTAAAAAAAGTACACAAAGGTCATGAGAGACAGAACAGAAATGTACATGTAGGCCAGTCTTCAGTTAACAACTTTTTAGTCGCTGCTTTTATTGAAATATTGATTGAGAAGAATACTTTTATAGAAAGTGATGCCTCTCTGTCATATGCCACCAAATATTTCAAACATTCTCTATCTCAATCGTTTAGTATTTATGCTAAATATGCATATTTCCCCATTAGTCCTATGCGTAGGTGAGGCTTCTTCATTGATAGTTCCAGCTTTGGAATTTGGCTGGCCCAGTTTTTTTTTCTTTTGTTCGAACATTGTTCTCCCCTTGACGATCATTGATGCATGCATTGTGTGGTAACCATTTACTCTGGAGTTTCCCAGTAACAATTACAATGGATCCAAAACCACAACAAATTTTAACTGTCATTTCACTAGGTCCACTGGCTCTGAGGCATTTAATGAACCGTAAAAAAAAAGTACTTAGGGTCGAGTGTGTTTTCATAATTAGCGATCACGAGGAAAGTGAGTTGGGGATTTCTTTTCTTGTCAAAATAAAGGAAAAGGACAAATTTATTGTGAAATCCTGTTCAGGAGAAGGAAGAACAACAGGAAATATTTTTTCAAGCGTTGGATTTCATTGTTTGATGGAAAGTTTGTGTAGTTTTTCAGGCTCCAATGTTGGAACCAGATATATGCACGATACACGCACAAATGTATAAATATTTTCCCCGTCTTCCGTTATTGATGATTGACCTGAATCTTCATGTAAATGTAGATGATGTTTATTTTAACAGTCCCCATTTCAGATTTTTTTTTTTGATATATTTTTCCTTAGCTGTCATTTTTAGAGATTTTACATAGTGTAAATTTGTGTACGCTTACTTTCAAGTTTTAACACTGAATCTAAAGTCAAAATTAGAGGGGTCCTTTTTTTCGGAGGGGGGGGGGGGTGTCAACATTTGAAATGGGTGTTTTTGTTTGCCAATTTTTAAGAGATTAAGAGATTTAAGAATTCTACGAGCAAAATAAGATTAAACTATGGGTACTTTTTTTTGGGGGGGGGGGGGGGGATCAAACCCCGGAGTAGGTGTTTTTGTTTGCAAATTTTTAAGAGATTTAAGAGATTCAAACAATTTTTGTTCACAGAAAAATAGTGTAGGGCCTACCCAAAGTGTTCACTTTGGCAGTTACAGTAAGGTCTGCAATGCCAAAGGTAGGACTTGAAAAACAAAGTCCCCAAAAAGCACAAAAATGGGTCACATCTTTGGGCAGTACTATCTGCCTTTAAAGGGAATGTACAACATTTGCTTTTGCTGCGATTTTCAGAAATAAATGGATTTGGAGGATTAGTAGGCCTATGTTATATAAAATATTGTTAAACTGACTTGTTTCATGTTTTGGGCTTGTAGATGCTGGAAAAACCAAGAAAACCTATCATGTTCTTGTAGTCTGGTTCCCTGACCCCACTTAAGATGAAACGAAGCAATTGATACACTTTGGGGAATTGTAAGGTCAGAGAATCAGTCTAGCAGGCTTGTACCCCTTCACAGGTGTGTGATCAATTGCAAAGAAAAGTCAGAATAACTAAATATGAAAAATGAAGAACAATTTTTGAAAAAAGCCAGTTTTCTCCAACGCTGGTCTGCCGACCAGCGTTGGAAAAATACAGTTTTTCTTCAAAATGTCAGCCCACCAGGAGCCACGATTTTACAGGTTGCTTAAGACTGTCAATCCCTAGCAATTCAGTAAGGTATTTCATGATAATTTGATCATTTCGTTTTTTGATGTTTGCAAATATGTTGTATTTTCCCTTTAAGTATGAGTCACGCTGTCTCTGGAGACCCGAAACCTAAAGTGACGGGGATTATTTTAATTTGCTTCCATAAATAAACAGTAAGTCCTCCAAGTTGTGTGGCAAGATGTAATCCTATACTGGCAATTATCTTCTGGTACTTGGTGAGTCTGCCCCATCCCTGAGTGTTTGCTGTTGGCACACAGACAACGCAACTACTAGAGAATCTTGCCCGAGTTTAGCAGCGGAACCCCAGAGCTTTGCAAATCGATTGAAAGGGTTTTGATTGATCTGAGAGTTGAGTGCAAAATGTCCAACCAAACAACGAGAATTAAATGTCAGCAGGATTTTGAAATGCATCACATTTTGGACTAATTTTCGGGTGGATTTGAGAGTATTAAGCAGTTAAACAGTTTGAAGTATTATTAGGGTTTTTTTTCAAACTTGTCTAAATTAATAGAGCTAAGTTTGACTTTTATTTTCTTGAACTTGGAAGGGAAAATTGGTATTCAATAAAGATCCTTAAGATCTTGACCTAAATTAAGTTAACCGTTTGCAAATTTTACCCTAAATAAAATACAGCACACATACTTGTACATGTAGCTGCGATGCCAGCCGGAACTTAGACGGGAAAAACCCACAGTATTGATGGCCTGCGGGCAGTACTTTTGATGACCTTATTTTTGTTGTCCTGCAGGGTCGTTTGGGGTCAAATATGTCAACCAGGAACTTTAGTGATTAAAAAACTTAGGCGTGCTTGCATTGTGATGAAACTGTGTTGTTTTTGCAAGGCGAACCTGGGAAATTAAAATGCTTTGT